CGTCTCCTATAAAATGGACTCTTGGTTGTATAGTTCATGTGCAGAGGATTGTAATACATCTGGCTGAAGTCAAGATAGATTTGGGTTACACTAGAAGATAACTAATTATATATTCTCATACATATGTGTGATGATAGATGCAAAGGGTATTAGTTATACTGTTTAGTAACAAGAAATACCATTGGTAGATTGTTTCTACTTACTTCGATGATAATTTTTTTCTCAGCTGGCACGCAGAGGAAGGATGCAATGCCAGAACTTGATATTGCTCTCTTCCACCCAACACTCCGAACTCGGTGCACTGAAGAACTTAGCTGCCACTTAATTGCCATTCTTTCAACTGTCGCACAAGCAATACCAGGTAAACAATGTGGAGGGTATAACCAACTACATGTTGTTGCTGCTTGAAGTGTTTAAGGGGTCGCCTTCCGCCGCAGCAATTTCGGCTGACCTATCTGCCATTTTCTGGGACTCATGTTTGTGAGTAGGGTCCACATATCCATTGCGAGTTTTAGTATTCATAAAATTTCTGTTTTTTTGTATTGATATGACTTCTTTTTTCGTATATTGATATGACTACATTTTTATCTTTGGCTGCTCTGTTTATACACGTTCGAGTTGCTGCCCTTCTCTCAGAAATAGAGTTCGCTTGGCCTTCGCCATTGCATCTTGTGGTTTAAGATGTAGGACAGAGAATGGATCTCACTGCAATTCCTGATTTAACCGATTTTGCTTTTGCTTTTTATTTCTAGTTTACTAAAGGGAATAGGCTGTATCCCCGCTTTGTCTAGAGCTAGCTTCGCCAGTGTATAGAATATTATTGACTGGGTTTGGCCTTGAGTTTGGCTGGGAGTGCACTTAGAGTGACTGATAGGATGACTGTCTTTGCTTCCGGTAGTTCCGGTAGGAGTTGGAGTGCATGATGAATTGCCTCCAATTCAGCAGTGAATACTGACAGACCATCAGGCAGGCGAACCGAATGTGTTTGGGGTTTGGAGCTATGGATATGGATCCCGTAACCAGCACTGTTGTTGATCCATCAGTGTATATGTAGGGGCCTAGCTGTCTCAGGTAGTTTGAATTTTAGTGATAGCCACTGATCGTAGTAGGGTTGGGTAGTGTCTGAATGAATAAAGACTGCGCTTACAGCAACAAGGTATTCAATTAATCATCTCGTTATCTGGGCAGTTTGCAAGCACCTCGTCACAAAAGGAAACAGAAATGCGTATCTTCACGTTCAGGGAGGACAAACAAGACAAATGACTGAAAGTTTTATTAAAGTCAGGATTTAACCACCATATTGACGTGAAAACAATACATTCCTGATACTACATTTCCCCACATTGAATACATAAATAAATTATTTTACAGTTTTATTCACAATTTGACAAACTATAATACTATGAATATCATAGTTTAATAAAAAGTCACCAGCGGAAACTTGTCTCAGATAAACACCGTCGTCTTTGACATAGAATGCATGAACTGGTTGAGTGACTTCCCACAGAAAAAAGAAAAAATCAAACAAATACAAAAGACATCCTATCTGAATGGTGTTCACTGGTATTCACTGCCCATTTCCTCTATGGTCATTGGGGCAATTGTGAAAATTGTAAAAATCCCACATTGTCACATCCGTTGATGGTCAAAGGGAAACAATACTCCAAATTTCAATCTTTTCCCCGGCGCCATCTTAATTAGCCCGTCAATTAACGCCAGCGACCCAATAAACTGGGCTTCTGACCAGCGAGGGGCCAACTGGAAAACTCATTGACAGCGAGGGAAATCCCCTTGAATCCTCGCATTTGAGTGGATGATGCTTACTATAACCTTTCATCTTGCAAATTCATCTGCGTGTGTAAATGTGTATGTACAATTATGTAGTTTGGTATACAGAAAATACGTGTAGGTATTGTTTTTGTAACAATGAAATTCAGTTCATATTGTCAACAGCAACGACCCTTATTTTTCAGGCAAATTGCATATAATACATTACTACTCCCTTCTCGTTATCCATTTTCCATGGTATAACCCCCACTTGTGAATTTGGGGTACAACACTCAAAGTTTGAAAAATATTGAAAAATTGATGAGCTTTTTCTTCGCGGATTCAAAATTTGCTCATTATGGACTATAATTTCAACTGGTTTGTGTTTGTGTTCGGCGCTATTCTGGCTGCGCTCCCCTATCGGAGTATCGAAGAATGAGAAACCGTATATAGTAACAAAGGTGTACAATAAAGATCTGCAGCCAAACTGACATGTGTTTTGGTGTGTTGATTAGTGCATGTACGGCTTGAATGGATGAAGCAATTGATCAACATAATATTGTGTACAATAAAACACAACATAGTACCCCTTCAGAGAATTCCGGTAAACGAACAGGTGATAACAAACTTGATCAATACAAATGTGAAGTTCAGATAAATTATCACTAAACATGATAATTTACCATTTAAATTGCATTTTGTGTTCTGTAAGGCATTGTTTTATTTGCAGAAATAAAGATTACCGCGTGTATTTGATCGTAAACTAAGCCGGAAATTGTAGGGGACTCTGGGTCTTTTCAGAACGCGTTTCCTAACAGATACCCCTAATTTTAACAGGATAAAAATTAGACTGTCGCGTTGACTGACTGTAGATATGATTTGTGCGGGTTTTCAAAAATAATTTTTATAACATAATCTAATGTACAATGTCATCCTTATATTTGTAGTGGTTTCCGAGAAAATCTGTACCCATTTTGGGGTACAGGGCCATCTTAAAAAACCAAGAAGGCAGTCATTAATGTACCCCATCATTTAAAATATGTGCATAAAATCACAAAAGTATGTCATATACCTAAAAATTCCCGAAACAAGGGTTAATCCTATAGCTTGTGAGTACCTGACATTAGGGACTGATGACTAAACCAAATGCTTCCCTCTGTTCTTTAAAGGTGTTTCACGGTCATCGGCGGAAACCGATCCCATTATGCATATGAACTAAGATTAGATGCCCCTGAGTTATGCAAAAGGTCACCATCATTACTATAGCTTGCATACACCTTACGTTCTTTGCCTTCCCAAATTATCGAAAGGTATATGGTTTCACGTTCCCTCCAGCATAGATTACTTCGAGGTGTTGTAGTTATGCGGGTCATTATCGCGATCAACAATATTTCCGACGTGAAAACTAATGTGTATTGTTTGTGTTTTTAAAGCATCGATTTATTTGTTTGTTGTTTATCGCCGCACTCAGCAATATACCTGCTATATGACGGCGGTCTGTAAAAATCGAGTCTGAACCAGACAATCCTGTGATTGACACCATGAGCATCGATCTACGCAATTGGGATACGATGACATGCATCAATCAAGTCAGCGAGCCTTGGCCACCCGATCCCGTTAGTTGCCTTTTAGGACAAGCATGGGTTGCTGAAGACCTATTCTATCCCGGATCCCCACGGGTAAGAATCGATTTGAATCACAGAGTTTATGTGAAACATCCCCTCAGTACATCAGGTGTTTCTCGATATGGGTATCAGTCATAAGTGGGCTAGATTTCCAGTAGCCAAGGACATGTAATGTTCTGGACCTACCTTCAGAATTCAGCACCACGAAAGTTTACAAACGCATCGCAACAACCTTTGACGTAATTTGTGAAATTTTGTTACAAAACACACTGTGACATCACCCATAGCAACAGAGTTGCTGGGGTCGTAGTGTGTGCATAGCTCCTATCGGTGATCTATTATCTCTAAACACAATGTCACTGAATAATTTGTTTATCAAATATAGTGCATTTTATAGCAAGTGCTAGTTTATGAAAGCACTTTTATTTTCAAAATATTTTATATTTCAGTTTCAACTTAATTCGTTGGGCTAAAAGTATTATATATCAGAACCTCTATGTGTACATATATTATTTTATCAGTTCAGTATGTCATTGTGACTGACTCATTAAGGTAGTTCTTAACAGACCTTTCTCACCCAATGTTGATATTATTTGAATACATTTCTTGGAAACACACTACAACAAATGTTCCTGTAAAGTAATTTGAGCATACATACGCTCATGCCACCTCTCTTTACCGGGAACTACTTTATTCCGCGATGCACCTGGTTGCTTTGTGTCTGTGTCTGTCAGTGTAAACATGAAGTCACAAGTATAGATCTAGCGCATCCGTCCAGGTATCAAACAGTGATATAAAAATCATAGCTCCTACGTTCATACAGTTTGGCCTTCACTCTATGACGGTTCATACTTCAATGAACTCATAGAAAGTTAAAGTCAATTCTTAAGTATTGAGCTGTACACATCTACACCACACCAGTCGAACACTATCTACTGCTGGACATTTTTATGCAGGCTCTGGTTTATAATGAAAACATAGGCCTGTGCTGGGGGTGTAATGGGGTTGTACCCCCTTCTCATGCACTCTTCTGTCACAAAATCCCGACGCCTGGAGCTCAGTTAACTATGGCAGAGATCCTGGGCACTAGAAGATGTGGTGCTGTATTCTAAAAGTGCTCCAATGCTCTGTTAATGATGCATGCTAATGTCAAATCCCAACTCTTCCACCAATTTGCATGCAAAGTTGTTAAGCAGAGAACATTGGGTGAGCATGCAGTTTTATACCCCTTTGTCTACAGATAATATAGACTGTTCAACCTATCCCAGTCAGACATTGTCAACCTTGAGAGAACTGTCAGCAGCAAGGGCATGATCATGTGATCACATCTCACATCAAGGGAGGTGACTGCAGATTCTGTGTATTACTTGGCTATTGTGCATACATGTAGCTTACAAATGAGTGTCAATAAGAGTTGCGACAGTAGGGACTCACACAGCTGCAGCACCACACTGCTGTGAAGATTGCTGTGAAGATTGAAGCATTAAACATAGGCCTTTGAGCTGCCTTACCATGTCAGTACAACTGATGTACAGACATTACAGCCACTGCCTACAAGCAAGCAGTATCTTGTGTGGAAGTCTCAATAGACAAGGTTGTGATAACAGGTTTACAGTCTTTAACCAGTTTATGGAGGAATATCATACATTACTGCATCCATATACAAACATACCAGAATTTGATGTACATAATTGTTTTTACACACACTCTAAAAGTTACTATTCACAGAGAGATAACTATGAGAAAAAGAATTAAATTAAATATTTTCTTGCTATTCACAAGTTATGAATTATTTTAACATGCATACTTTTAAAGTCCACACTTGAAGTGCTTGAAAATAATTACTAAATACTACAACCTGATATCTTCATCTGAGTCTGAGTCAGCGAAACCCATGTCGCCATCATCATTGTCTTTGACTATATGTTTATCTTCCTCCTCCCCAAGTTGTCCATCCCCCTGCCCCCCCTCTCCACTGCCTCCGCCCCCTACAGCTCCTGCAAGCACCTGATCCTCCTGGTCCTGGTCCTCCCAGGATGAGCGTGCTTGCACCTGCTTAAGTACTCGCTGTGCCAGACTTTGTATGGCCTTGTAGGGGCGAGTGTCAGCCTGGATGCTTTCCAACAAACCAATTCCACACTCTTTCTCTAGCAAGCTACAGTACTTGTCAGCTGAAATTACACACACACACACACAACATGGCTTGTACAACAGCAAATATGACATTAGTCAGCTTGGCCAGGTCAAGCAGAACAATTGAAACATAGACCGACAGACAATCTCTATTGACTCAAGCCATAGGTTGCTTCCAGCCTTTACATAGCTAGTTATGATACGCTGACATTTCTCTACATTTATAACTGAGTATCCCAGGGTGAAAATATATCCCTACACACTAATATAGTTGTGAAACGGAACTGTACACCTTCTGCTGACAAATGGTTACTTATAATATTAAATTATTATAATTATCTATAACATGTGTCTCATTCAAATCACACATGTATTTCAATCAAGACTACTGATTGCTTTACATAAGGGCTTGTGCACTTGCTCATAACAGCTGAATAGTCTCACTACAACTGTGTCACCTGGATAGTCTCACTACAACTGTGTCACCTGGATAGTCTCACTACAACTGTGTCACCTGGATAGTCTCACTACAACTGTGTCACCTGGATAGTCTCACTACAACTGTGTCACCTGGATAGTCTCACTACAACTGTGTCAGCTGGATAGTCTCACTATAACTGGTCACCTGGATAGTCTCACTACAACTGTGTCACCTGGATAGTCTCACTACAACTGTGTCACCTGGATAGTCTCACTACAACTGTGTCAGCTGGATAGTCTCACTACAACTGTGTCACCTGGATAGTCTCACTACAACTGTGTCAGCTGGATAGTCTCACTACAACTGTGTCACCTGGATAGTCTCACTACAACTGTGTCAGCTGGATAGTCTCACTACAACTGTGTCACCTGGATAGTCTCACTGACACAGTTGTAGTGAGACTATCCAGGTGACCAGTTATAGTGAGACTATCCAGCTGACACAGTTGTAGTGAGACTATCCAGCTGACACAGTTGTAGTGAGACTATCCAGGTGACCAGTTGTAGTGAGACTATCCAGCTGACACAGTTGTAGTGAGACTATCCAGGTGACACAGCTGTAGTGGCACTGGATAGCCTCAATACATAGGGTCAACCGAGGAGCACAGAATTTCAGAGGACAGCTAAAATCTGTATACCTACTTAGTTTATTTGTACTTACGACAGAAACCACAGAGATTGCATAAAGCCCACACGGCCCAGTGTTGTACTTCAGGGGTGGCAAATATTGTCAACAGACGCAGAATGGGTTGGAAAGACCTGTTGAATAGAAAACGTCATATGCAGCGTGACTTCAGAAAAGAGAGGCCCATGCCTCAAAGCAAAGTGAAGGTGTTTCCCCATGTGGAGGAGATGTACTAAATTTAATCTGACTTCCAAACATTGGAACATGAACATGATACACTACTTAGTGTATGACTTGAGAGTAATGCAACCTTAGATATAATATACAAGGGCAACACATCACATAAACCCAGCAGGAATTGCCAACGTAGAATTCAATGTTAAATCCTTGACAGTGGGTCACTGTGGCCTCCTACTGATAGTCATCACTTATCATACATAACAGCAGAACATGGTTACAACAACCACAGAATACTAACTGATGGCCCTGTCACACTAACCAAATTTTAGAGTAACTTGCACCTAGTGTGTACAAGACAGTTAAGTACGCTGTCATATGTTGAGCTTTCATAGAAAAACCATGATTTTGGCGTATCCATAACAAGAGTTTACCGTATATGTAACGCATGTCTAACGTTTTAGTAGTGTATCACTGACTTATAGTTATACACAACTTCTGACAGCGTATAAATGCTTATTGCCAGCGTGTGTCCGGCGTGTTCAACGTATGGCCAGCGTATGCCTAGAGTATGAGTAACGTATGACTAGCGCGCTCAGCGTAGGGGAAAGGTGCCTAAAACGGGCCATATAGGTAACGTATATCTGGTGTATGCAAACGTATGTAGAGCGTACCTCTAACGTATGTAGAGCGTACCTCTAACGTATGCCTAACGTATAATTCATACCTTCATACATTCCCATACTCAAAAATGTTTTTAAGCCTTGGTGTACTACAACGTATACCAGAGTGGTTTTAATGTATACAACTTACACCTAACTTATCCATAGCATGTTTCAGTATTGCCGGCGTTTTGCAAAAATTCTCATATGTCGCCATACGTTACTGCTATACGTTGTAGTGTGACAGGGCCATTACTAACAGTTATAAAGAGTACACTGCATTACAATAAAGTATTATTTTGCATAAAGTATTATTTACTAAAGCAAACAGATTTTTCACCCATCAGAGCACAAACAAAGAGACACAAGCTATAGTTATCAGTGTGAATAATTTCACAACCTTTATTACATCATTACCAGTTATCCTGCATTTCTGCTTTCATCACACTATAATTTGTTTAGATATTTAACAGAAGTCCTCTTCACTGTCAACTATCCATAACCAGTTGAGATATAGAGATTACTACACGAGTGTCTGTCAGATACCATTGATCTTACAACGAGTTGTAAGATCAATGGTATCTGACAGACACGAGTGCAGTAATCTGTTTCTTACACACCCTAAAATCGCACCTTTTTAAAAATCGTATCTAACTGATGAATTTTGTCTATTCTCATGATTGCAGTAGCGCATTAATACATATAACACCACTGTCATAAGTGACGTCATCCTATGTGCTGCTTACTACTCATAAATAATGTGACCCTACACAAAAAGGTTTCCATCCTATCTGTGGATTATCAAGGCAATGATGAAAATGCAAACTAGACAAAAACCAAGAACACGCTGGGTGCCAAGTTGAAAGTTTACACCTCAAAGAAATTACCAAATATGTACAACAATGTTTAATTCCGTATGACATCACTACCGGTGACCGACTTTTACAAAATGGCATGTTCACTGACAACAGTACGCGTGATTTCCAGAGGAGGTTTTTTCGTTGATTAAGGGATCGTATATACATAAATGTGTCACGTAAGTAATCAGAAACATTCTGACAATCTGCGTACTGTTATTTGTTTACCATGTTTTCCAATGTAACAAAGAGAATTAGTCAGAAATGCAGATAACTAGGCCTACCGTCGTCGTTGTGCGTGATTTAGCGTCATTCATGGCGTCACACAGGACGGAAACTTTTACGGCTTCTGTTGAATTTACCTCATCATTGTAATGTATATATGTGTAATTCCATAATTAGTGCAACGATACTCTTCCCATGAATATTCTCAAACGCGTGATCGAGCCAATGTATGCAACAATTAGACGATAGTACCTCTTTAATGCATCAGTGTAAAATCTGAATTTTGCTTTGTTTACATTTCAGCAAGTACAATTTTCCGAGCACAGTTTTCGTTTCCATACCTAATTTATTTCGCATGATTTCATCTAGATAATTTGCATTGGTGACAAAGACCATTTATCAATTGTGTTGAAAATGTATGAGGAATTCAGGGATGCATGTATAGCAGCTGAGTTTGAAATATACCTGATCGAATATAGGCGTCTCATAATCGGCATTTTGTAAACACAATCCAATATGGCGGAACGTACACTTCGGCGTTCGTGTGTGCATATTTTCCAAAACATTCTAAATGATTCTAGGCTTATCAGCGACGATTCAGAATTATCATTAGTGATTTGATACCTGTGATCGCTAATATGCTATTTTTCTACTTTAATTATTCAAGTAAATATCCGATATTTAGATTTCTAAACACACACTAAATATTTATATAATGCCGTGAATTGTGATTTGGCGAGATTTACAATGTACCTAACTTTCAGTCACTTTCAGTAATTTTGAATTGCCTAAAATGCCAGTAAATGATAAACAGAAGGGGGAATTCAAAACTGTGAAGTGTCTGCGTGATGTATTTTGAATTTTATTCGATTTCGAAGTGAGGGTTGAAGAGAAGGAACATATGTGTTGCTGTGGCAGCCAGGGGGTTTACACTCTGAAAAAACGATAATGTTGACATAACAACAGATAATGTAACTGATAATAATAACAAACAAACTCGCAGACGAGGACGAGTTTGTTTATTTTTATTATTAATTACATGGTCCTGTTGTTCAATACAGACGTAGGTGAACATTCGACTGAAGCACAAGCAACTTAGGAATGACTTTCACTCAGGAAAGTAGTCGGTCATCATCTGACCCCAGGTCATCACCATGGAGTAGCAAATCACGGGCCTGGAATTTGATCTCACACATATGTTTGATACCAGTTATCTCAAATGGGTTTCTCACCCACATGTGTGTAAGAAAATCTTAAACCTGTGCGCCAGGGAGTCTTACCTTCTTTCCAACATCAGCAACCTAGATGCAGATTAGGGCTGCGCGTCCAAATTTACTACCCGTATACCCATTCCCCTATTACCCTACCCTACCTGGGTACCCGCCTAAGGTCTAAAGAGATAGGTACAAAATGTCCGATTGGGAAAAGTTTGACTGTAGCCCTGGCAAAACGATCTGGTCATGCATACACTGAAGTTGACTGAAGTTACATCTTAAGAAATAAATGCAAGCATTAGTGACTTGTAGTGTAACCATAGAGTTCTAGATAATTTTTGCCATTGAACAATACATCCCGTGAAACTAACCATCGGTCCGGGTAGTCCTGTGGGTACTCGGGTCCCCGCCCGACCTGAGTACCCAAGTTACCCGTCCCAGCCCTAATGCAGATTATTGGGGAGTTGTGAGGGATTACTCCTGAGGTAGTATTCTTTGAATTAGTAACTATTGTATTTTCTTACGAATACAAAACCTCTTTCTCTGACAGAATATTCCCGAGGGATCGAGGGGATCTGACATCTAGTAATACCCTGAATAGTTAACAGTCAATTGTGGCATTATCAAACGGTCCCACGTGACCTTCCAGTCATGACAGTTATCACTACAAAAGCGTCACCTGTCTTCCAAGGCTGTTGCTGCTGGTTTACATGAACATGAAGCGACATTGCCTGGATCTAAGTAGAACTGGAAACCTGGAACAGGAGAGATGCCAATCCTTCGATGCCAAAGCAAGGACAGGAATTGTGTATTGTCTTTGTTCTAGCTCTCCCAGAATGGTAGACATGTTCTTCGAGATTTGAGAGCATGAAGTTCTGAGACCCTGGCTGCTGTGGCCATGGCCAATAGGAATAGCTGATTCAGACCATGGACAAAACAACCAATAGATTCCACTTGGGGAATGTGCACAGGATTTGACGTCTTCCAGGAGGCAAGATCTCATGATCAGTTGAGGACAGGGTGATCTCCAATAGATAGCCTGTCATGCTGGAGAACCAACGTTTGAGCAGTGGTATCCTTCAGTGGCAGAACTTGGCATTCTGGCGACGATAGAGGAGGAAACACCATTGCTATAGGTACAGTTACAGGTCCCACATCCACTCCTCATTTTCCATTTGGAGAGTTTGTTCCATCTGTTGTTGTAGAAGGGCGGAAAAGGATGGTCTTCAAGACCAAGCAACTGCATCTGAAGCAGATTTGGAGCAGCAGGAAGTCTGCATCCACTGCACAATAACTGCCAAGCACAAAGTGGAGTGTAGGCGGCCATACATGATGTCTGATCTGGGTTGAAGGAGAAAATCTTCCAGGACTAACAGGGACAGTCTGGTGAACCAGGGACAATGCAAAGAATCCCGTCCAATCCATGGACAACACATCCACTTGATGAACTTGGAGAACAGGCTGACATACACTGGGAGCTTCTTGTTGAGGAATATAATGAACAAGCCTAGTTGATGTGTGTCCCACATCAGCGTTATCCAGTGAAATATCACCGAATGGATCATGACCCGTTGACATAAGCTGTTATACATTTTGGGAGGGGGCCTTGGTGACTGAGTGGGTTAGATCGCTGACTTTGTGTGCTCACTATTAGAGCTGCTTCACTCTGAGAGTGTGGGTTCGAACCCCAGGTGGCATTTAACCTCCAAAATACTAGAATTTGAAACCAATATCCAGTAATACCAGATAGTTGTCAGTAATGAAATAGAAATATAGGGTAGACGGAAACATAAAGCCCATGTTCTGTTTCCCCATCATAGAACTTCCCATTTGTGGCATCTAAGATGTCACTTCCAGTTTTAAGACGTTGTTACCTGTTTATGACCTGTTCACTGGTTCACCTACTGGTTCACCTACTGGTTCACCTACTGGTGCATCTGCTGATTCATCTACGTATGCATCTACTGGTGCATCTACTGGTACATCCACTGGTTTATCTATTGGTACACCTACTGGTTCATCTACTGGTCCATGTCCTGTTACATCTACTGGTACATTCACTGGTCAATTTACTAGTGCATCTACTGGTGCATCTACTGGTTCATCTACTGTTTCACCTACTGGTACATCTACTGGTTCACCTACTGGTACATCTACTGGTTCACCTCATGGTACATCTTCTGATACATCTACTGGTCCATCTACTGGTCCATCTACTAGTGCATATACTGGTTCATCTACTAGTGCATCCACTGGTTCATCTATTGGTGCATCTACTGGTTTATCTACTGGTACACCTACTGGTTCATCTACTGGTACATCTACTGGGGCATCTACTGGTGCATCTACTAGTGCATCTACTGGTGCATCTACTGGTACATCTACTGGTCCATCTACTAGTGCATCTACTGGTACATCTACTGGTGCATCTACTAGTGCATCTACTGGTGCATCTACTGGTACATCTACTGGTCCATCTACTAGTGCATCTACTGGTACATCTACTGGTGCATCTACTAGTGCATCTACTGCTGCATCTACTGGTACATCTACCGGTCCATCTACTAGTGCATCTACTGGTACATCTACTGGTGCATCTACTGGTTCACCTACTGGTACATCTCCTGGTACATATACTGGTTCATCTACTGTTATGTCTACTGGTACATCTACTGGTTCATCTACTGGTACACCTACTGGTACAACTACTGGTACATCTACTGGTTCACTACTGGTACATCTACTGGTTCATCTACTAGTATGTCTACTGGTACATCTACTGGTATATCTACTGGTGCATCTACTGGTTAATCTACTTGTACATCTACTGGTTAATCTATTGATTCATTTACTGTTTCATCTGCTAGTTCACCTACTGGTACATCTACTGGTACATCTTCTGGTACATCTGCTGCTACATCTGCTGGTACATATACTGGTTCACTACTGGTACATCAACTGGTTAATCTACTGGTTCACCTACTGGTTCATCTACTGATTCATTGACCGATTCATTGACTGATTCATTGACTGGTTTGTCTACTGGTTCACCTACAGATGCTTTTTTTGAATAGCAGAACAAAAATGAGACGCACCTGTAGTTGATGTTGCGTCGGGCACGGATGTCCCATCTGTTGATGGCACCCACCATTCTCTGTAGAACTTCCTGCCGTGAAGGCTGTCTCACCAGCCATGTTTCCTCCTGGTCCGACGCCAGGTGAGCCAACACACCTGCAGCGTTGTAGCTGACTTCAATGCCGTCACTTGTCGAGTCCAGAAGATCACTACAAGAGACCACAGGTAGAACTACTAAGCACTTCAATACCATACATCCCACTACAGCACTTCACTACCATACATCTCACCACAGTACTTCACAACCATACATCTCACTACAGCACTTCACTACATCTCACCACAGTACTTCACAACCATACATCCCACTACAGCACTTCACAACCATACATCTCACCACAGTACTTCACAACCATACATCCCACTACAGCACTTCACTACCATACATCTCACCACAGTACTTCACTACATCTTACCACAGTACTTCACAACCATACATCCCACTACAGCACTTCACTACCATACATCTCACTACAGCACTTCACAACCATACATCTTACCACAGTACTTCACAACCATACATCTAACCACAGTACTTCAATACCATACATCTCACCACAGTACTTCACGACCATACATCTTACCACAGTACTTCACAACCATACATCCCACTACAGCACTTCACTACCATACATCTCACTACAGCACTTCACAACCATACATCTCACCACAGTACTTCACAACCATGCATCTTACCACAGTACTTCACTACCATAAATCTCACCACAGTACTTCACTACCATACATCTCACTACAGTACTTCACTACCATACATCTCACCACAGTACTTCACAACCATACATCCCACTACAATACTTCACTACCATACATCTCACCACAGTACTTCACTACATCTCACCACAGTACTTCACTACCATACATCTCACCACAGTACTTCAGAACCATACATCCCACTACAGCATTTCACTACCATACATCTCACTACAGCACTTAACTACAATACATCTCACCACAGTACTTCACAACCATACATCTCACCACAGTACTTCAATACCATACATCTCACCACAGTACTTCACTACATCTCACCACAGTACTTCACTACCATACATCTCACCACAGTACTTCCCTACAATACATCCCACTACAATACTTCACTACCATACATCTCACCACAGTACTTCACTACATCTCACCACAGTACTTCACAACCATACATCTCACCACTGTACTTCAGAACCATACATCCCACTACAGCATTTCACTACAATACATCTCACTACAGCACTTAACTACAATACATCTCACTACAGCACTTAACTACAATACATCTCACTACAGCACTTCACGACCATACATCTTACCACAGTACTTCACTAAAATACATCTCACAACAATACATCTCACCACAGCACTTCAAAACCAAACATCTTACCACAGCACTTCACTACAATACATCTCACCACAGTACTTCACTACCATACATCTCACTACAGCACTTCACTACCATACATCTCACTACAGTACTTCACTACCATACATCTCACTACAGCACTTCACGACCATACATCTTACCACAGTACTTCACTACCATACATCTCACCACAGCACTTCACTACCATACATCTCACCACAGTACTTCACTACCATACATCTCACCACAGTACTTCACAACCATGCATCTTACCACAGTACTTCACTACCATAAATCTCACCACAGTACTTCACTACCATTAATCCCACTACAGCATTTCACTACAATACATCTCACCACAGTACTTCATTACCATACATCTCACCACAGTACTTCACAACCATACATCCCACTACAGCATTTCACTACCATACATCTCACTACAGCACTTAACTACAATACATCTCACCACAGTACTTCACAACCATACATCTCACCACAGTACTTCCCTACAATACATCCAACTACAATACTTCACTACCATAAATCTCACTACAGTACTTCACTACCATAAATCTCACCACAGTACTTAACTACCATACATCTCACTACAGCACTTAACTACAATACATCTCACCACAGTACTTCACAACCATACATCTCACCACAGTACTTCCCTACAATACATCCCACTACAATACTTCACTACCATATGTCCCACTACAGTACTTCACTACACTACGTAGGCCTACAACCCACAAGGCAAATGTGTGGTGAGATGTCCCATGTTGCTCCAGTTTCTCTGGCTGGTCAAGTCACTGTAGGATGTCAGAGGTGTAGGACACATTTGTTTTTGCCGCCAACAAGCAGCAGTCCGACAGCCTAGTGGCAACCCTAAACTGTATACATATCCATCAATACAAGGATGTAGTTTATTAACAAAGACAATTTGGGGGGTCCTTCATCCAAGCAGCTCACTACTGACTAACGTACTGTGCTGAAATGTTTGTTTGTAGTATTCTGATGTTGCTACTGATTCCAGTACCTGAAGACCTGGACATATTCTGTCACCATCAGCCGAGGACGCAGCTCCTTCACTTCCGCTATGTTGCCCTGCAACATACAACCATGGCCACCACTGCCTCACTGACCAACACATCTGCAGTAGCAGAAATCAAACAATAGTCATCATTGGTGTATAAATCTAAGAATACTATCTTTCTTACATCATAGCCAATATTCTTGCAAATTGGTCAACATCACACTAAAACAATTCCACAGTCATCGTCTTCAGTGTCAGCCATCCTTATCAGTTGTTGGGATCCTGCATATCGTACTAAATACTCCTTTCTTATGTGTGCTAAGCCCAACCCTAGCATTTGTTTCAGTTTTTGAGCATATGCATTTGTTTGTCTTAAAATCAGTACTAAAGTATCTTAGGTTATCAACTAAAATACTAATATAACATATAACTAAAGAACAGATGTTCATTAGGCTTTTGAAACCTAAACTTAATTAAAAAGTATAATTTTCAAAACTTCCCCATGTAACTCAATGTGTATTTGTGCCCTCACACCATAATGTATTAGCCTCCCACTATTAACACTAGCAGCATAACATTGGCTAGGACTATAGCCTCCCACTATTATCACTATCTAAGCATAACATTGGCTAGGACTATAGCCTCCCACTATTATCACTATCTAAGCATAACATTGGCTAGGACTATAGCCTCCCACTATTATCACTAGCTAAGCATAACATTGGCTAGGACTATAGCCTCCCTCTATTATCACTATCTAAGCATAACATTGGCTAAGACTATAGCCTCCCACTATTATCACTATCTAAGCATAACATTGGCTAGGACTGTAGCCTCGCACTATTATCACTAGCTAAGCATAACATTGGCTAGGACTATAGCCTCCCACTATTATCACTATCTAAGCATAACATTGGCTAGGACTATAGCCTCCCACTATTATCACTAGCTAAGCATAACATTGGCTAGGACTATAGCCTCCCACTATTATCACTAGCTAAGCATAACATTGGCTAGGACTATAGCCTCCCACTATTATCACTATCTAAGCATAACATTGGCTAGGACTATAGCCTCCCACTATTATCACTAGCTAAGCATAACATTGGCTAGGACTATAGCCTCCCACTATTATCACTAGCTAAGCATAACATTGGCTAGGACTATAGCCTCCCACTATTATCACTATCTAAGCATAACATTGGCTAGGACTATAGCCTCCCACTATTATCACTAGCTAAGCATAACATTGGCTAGGACTATGTTTTACTTCTCCCATTATTGTCACTGTTACATGATAGGCATTATGACGCCACAAAAACTACTATTGTGCATCACCGAGGACTACATACGAGGGGTGTTCATTAAAAATTTCCCCTAAACCACTTAGGGTTATCATATTTGGTTGAAATTTCACACGTGTAATGATACATGTATCTATGGGTTATGTCTGAATTTGCAGCACCGAACTATTAATCTCACCACTTTTACAGGTGTTATGATCGAGTAGGGTGTGACAATGGAGCCAGTAGAATACCGAGCAGTGATTAGGGTTTTTATATTTGAAAGGTCGCACACCAAAAGAAACTTTCGATGAAATGAAAGCAACTTATGGGGAAGATGCCCCATCATATGACGTTGTTAAACACTGGCATCGCCAGTTCAAGTGTGGTCGGACATATGTGGTAACAGCTGCCATTCCTGGTCGCCCCGATTCAGTCATTGATGAGGACACTATCCATCAAGTGGAGACCGCCATTTTGGCAGACCGACGTATAACTGTCCGCCAGTTAGCACAAGATGTCAAGATCAGTGTAGGGTCTGTGGAAAAAATCATCCATGACAATTTGAACATGCAAAAGGTGTCTGCACGATGGATTCCCAGGTTGCTCACACCTTTCCAAAAGCAGGAACGAGTCAATTGCTCAAAGGATCTTTTGGACATGTGCCAAAAAAACAGGCAAACTTTCTTGACAGACTTATCACACAGGATGAAACATGGGTCCATCACTATGATCCTGAGTCTAAAGTTCAGTCGATGCAATGGAAGCATGTGGAGTCCCCACCCCCAAAGAAGGCACGTGTCCAACCCTCTGCAGGCAAGGTCATGCTCATGGTGTTTTGGGACCAGCACGGAGTAGTGATGATGGATTTCTTGGCAAAGGGTACCACAATTACAGGAGCTTATTATGCTTCACTGCTGCGAAAATTGTGTGACGCTATCAAGCTCAAGAGGCGTGGCATGCTGACCAAGAGTGTCGTCTCCTGCAAGACAATGCTCCAGTACACAACTCTCATGTTGCCCAGACAGAAGCGCGGTCCTGTGGCTATGAAATCCTTCCACATCCTCCTTACTCTTCTGACCTTGCACCATCTGACTTCCACCTCTTTCCAACCATGAAGTCATTTTTGAAGGGTAATCGTTTCACAGATGATGAAACACTGATTTCTGAAGTCAAGTCCTGGTTTGAGACGCAAAATGAGGTCTTTTACAAGCGAGGTCTCCATAGTTGGATAAAATGATAGGAGAAGTATGTAACTCTTGGTGGTTCCTATGTGGTGAAAGACTAATACCTATGCCAAGTTTCATTCCACTAGGTCCATCGGAAGTGGGTCAGGACACCCCTCGTATATACATTATACTATTCTGGCGTCAAAATTATGCTGGTAGTATTTTTAAGTCATGCTCAGTTTGCATAGCTGTCTTTGACAATAATATTGGCTATGATGTCATAGAGGTAAGGTATTCAAAGGAATTATCCATTTTTACCATCAGCTCAGTATTATTTTACTACTCAAGTCACAAATACCAAAAATTGCACTTTACCAAATGTTTGGAAAAAAAAACCAACAGGCACTACTAAAATGCATTCTCAGGAGTACTCCCACAATAAATAACATTACTACCTATTCATGGCTACTGACTTCACTGTTATGATTTTCACATATGGTTACCAGTGTTCATGGACCCTAATTTTAAAGCCTTGTTAGAGATATTTGCCTCACTCACCATCAGTCCCATCATGTTCCGAAGCAGCTCAGCATGGTCCTTGAACTTCTGCAATGAGATAAGGACAATTACAATGTCAAACCAAGGTCAATATACAAATTAGGGCAAAACAAATTTGTGTGCTACTGTTCATTACATTATATTACTTCCATACCTTGACCTTAATCAAAACAACTTTGTAAGTTGCAGGACTGTCACAGGACAGTCCAAGTAAAAGTGTTCCAGTCACTGGCAGCTAATGATGCAACTGTGTTGACCTTGACCCAGGACTTAATTAGAACAAACCTAAGATCCTAAAGAAGGTCTTTACTAAGAGTAATTATAAATGCATTAATACTGTGAATTAATACTTGTGGATACTAGTAAATCTATAAACATGACAGTGATCTTCTAACCACAGGTCACAATAATATTATGTAAGTCCATTGTAGAGTATCCTCTTTTGTCAATATTTGCACCACATTCAAGAGAGAGTATGATAGAATTACACTACACAATTACTTCAAAGGTGACCCTGACCTTTGACAAAAATGCAATTGATGTATGATGGGATAGGATTTGCACAGAAAGTTGATGTTTACACAGCCTAAAGTGTATTTTCAGAGAACTTAGAACAAAAACTTCAAATTAAGGTCAAAATTCAAAATGTCACAAAACACATGGAACATGTCTTGATGCCCAATACTACCCAAACATGTCACAAATGTCATTGTATTAAAACAAAAATGACTGAGAAAAAAACTAAAATATTTTTCGTCAATATGCTGCTGTGGAGGATTAGAACCACCTACCAAACATCTTAAACAAATTGGTAGAAACGAGGATATATATGAAGTTTCACCTTAATTGGTCCAGTGGTTTCCATGGAGATTACACTACAGCACAGAAAATTTCAGTTTGAGAGAATTTAGATGCATGGTCAAATAAAGCTCAAGATTTAAAATACTTACAAAACAGAACAGGTGTGTTGAGCCCAACTACTAACAACACATATGCCTAATGTCTGCCCATTTTAAAATAAAGATGGCTTAGTAATGGTCAACAGAAGTTTCAGTATTCAATATGGCTGAAATACAAAGGTGCAATCAAGGTCTACGTTTATAGTATCATGAAAAAAAGAAAATATATGTTGAGCTCCACTACTAACTACACATGTACCAAATTTAATGAGTAATGGCCAAAGGATTGTTTTTCAATATGGCTGCGATGACAGATTGGGTGTGTTCATTGGTAGAAGCAAACATGTAAAGTTTCCTTTTCATTGTTCCAGTCGCAAGGAATTGCCTTTCAAGTTGGTGAAGTGAGGTGAAGTAGGGTTTAACGTCGTGCTCCAGAATAATATTGTAGTTACATAGTGATGCGTGCATGCGTGTGTGCATGTTTTTGCTAAGGTATGAATCGAAAAAGTGATGTGCAAACAATATAAATCCACATAGCGTGACAAAAGTTTGCACTTTGGTTTGTCAATTCATACATTAATGATCTGAAACGATACACGGTCAATCCTCACAATATACTTTCACAACAACAACCTATGTTCTCAACAACAGTTTACTAACAGATTCATATGATGACATCAACAAACATTCCATGCATAGCATCACATTTTGTGGTATGACATAAATCAGGTGACTGCTTTATTTAATGAGATAAACTGGTACACCTCCTGCATCAGTAGCCATCTAACAGAGTAGCATCCAACAGTGTTCCAAGAACCTCTCAAAGAAGGTGTAACGAATCAGAACAAAAAACACTAAACAACATCAACTCACACAGCATCTATATGAAGGGAAACAACTCCCACTTGAACTATGATTACCTGCCCTTGAGTGGATGGTTATCATGATTAACAACATTTCTGACGTGAAATCTCTTAGAGGTGTTCTCAGTGAAACACCCAGTTTAACCCAATGAATGTCAGTGTGTGAGTAGGAAGCAGGTTACTAGCATGAGAATTTCCTCAACTAGCACTAGGATTCCCTGACTTTCCATTGTGGTGAAAGCACTGGGGGGGGGGGGTCATATTGAGGCATGCAGCACTGCTTCGGTGACTCTGATTGTTAGACCAAGGGCATTGACCTTTGACCCCAGGAATTACACAACCACCATTTATGGTCACGCAGCAAAGATAGGGGACTTATGTATCTGATGATAATATAAAATTCAATATTTTGTGGTTGAATCCTTGGAAACAGATATAAGAAACAAACACATTAAGGTTTGCACAAATCTGTCATATCCATACATTGAAGTACACTTTACATGTTCTAACAATAGGATGGCAACCCACCTCCAGACAGCTCAAGAACAGTCCCATCCCATCTTTGTCCATGAACCTTTCACAGTTTGCGGCAGTCTCATCTGTAACACACCCAAAGGCAGAATAAACCAGCCCATGCTGCAACTTTCTCTAAGCTACCCTTCTATACTTTGGAGTGTCTTAAACTATTACTGGCAGTGTGTTATAAAATATGTTGTTGTTTTTATGTCTGCTTTCAAAGTATCACTCATATGTGCACTAGAAGCTGAATTATTCAAACAGATGCACACTGTGGAAACAGATCTGTTGTTGTCACAGGGAAGTTGTGTTGCAACTGTCAGACTGAGCAGATGTCTTCTGAGTGAAATCTTCTTCTGTGTAAGGGACAACTCTCAGGGTTTTACTCTGAACCAGTGCATGCTGTTCATCAGCAGTATTGGGGCAACTGTCGGATAACTAAGTTAACACAGCTCCACACTTACAACTCAACACAGCAATAATCAATGTGAAATTGATTGTCTTTTATAGTGTAATACTGGTGAGGGTCTGGGAAATTGATTGTCTTTTATAGTGTAATACTGGTGAGGGTCTGGGAAATTGATTGTCTTTTATAGTGTAATACTGGTGAGGGTCTGGGAGTCGCCAGGTAGCTTCTGCCCTTCTGTTGTCGACACTCACTACAACGTTACATCAGGCTTCTGTTATTCTGCTGTCTTACCTGTGACATTCCACATGGTGCTCCAGGCTACCTCCATCACATCATCACACACATCAGCCAGGAGCTTGCGTCTAATGATGCTCAACATCGTCTGTGGCAAATATATGTTTATTACTAAAATATATGGCCTCAATTCTGTCCTAATCAGTCATACTGACACTCATGATTAGGCTGAGAAACACCATGTCATATACAGTAACAACAGTAGGAAGCTGACACAGCTCTCTCATCACAATATAGTAAAGAGCACAAATTATAACAAAGTAAACTGATTCAGCAGAGTGTATATATTTCTAATATAAGTGACTTGACTATATCCACTTGACTTCCCTACATCAATAGCTCCTAGACTGCCCACAATCTAATTCTCTCTGCCATCGACTTGACTTTCCTACCTCTATAGCTCCTAGACTGCCCACAATCTCTTTCACTCTGCCATCCACTTGACTTCCCTACCTCTATAGCTCCTAGACTGCCCACAATCTATTTCACTCTACCATCCACTTGACTTCCCTACCTCTATAGCTCCTAGACTGCCCACAATCTATTTCTCTCTGCCATCCACTTGACTTCCCTACTTCTATAGCTCCTAGACTGCCCACAATCTATTTCACTCTGCCATCCACTTGACTTCCCTACCTCTGTAGCACAAACTGCCCACAATCTATTTCTCTCTGCCATCCACTTGACTTCCCTACCTCTATAGCTCCTAGACTGCCCACAATATCTTTCACTCTGCCATCCACTTGACTTCCCTACCTCTGTAGCACAAACTGCCCACAATCTATTTCTCTCTGCCATCCACTTGACTTCCCTACCTCTATAGCTCCTAGACTGCCCACAATCTCTTTCACTCTGCCATCCACTTGACTTCCCTATCTCTATAGCTCCTAGACTGCCCACAATCTATTTCACTCTGCCATCCACTTGACTTCCCTACCTCTATAGCTCCTAGACTGCCCACAATCTCTTTCACTCTGCCATCCACTTGACTTTCCTATCTCTATAGCTCCTAGACTCCCCACAATCTCTTTCACTCTGCCATCCACTTGACTTTCCTACCTCTATAGCTCCTAGACTGCCCACAATCTATTTCTCTCTGCCATCCACTTGACTTCCCTACCTCTGTAGCACAAACTGCCCACAATCTATTTCACTCTGCCATCCACTTGACTTCCCTACCTCTATAGCTCCTAGTATGCCCACAATCTCTTTCTCTCTGCCATCCACTTGACTTCCCTACCTCTTTTGTTCCTAGACTGCCCACAATCTATTTCACTCTGCCATCCACTTGACTTCCCTACCTCTATAGCTCCTAGACTGCCCTCAATCTCTTTCTCTCTGCCATCCACTTGACTTCCCTACCTCTATAGCTCCTAGACTGCCCACAACCTATTTCACTCTGCCATCCACTTGACTTCCCTACCTCTATAGCTCCTAGACTGCCCACAATCTATTTCACTCTGCCATCCACTTGACTTCCCTACCTCTATAGCTCCTAGACTGCCCAAAATCTCTTTCACTCTGCCATCCACTTGACTTCCCTACCTCTATAGCTCCTAGACTGCCCTCAATCTCTTTCTCTCTGCCATCCACTTGACTTCCCTACCTCTATAGCTCCTAGACTGCCCACAATCTCTTTCTCTCTGCCATCCACTTGACTTCCCTACCTCTATAGCTCCTAGACTGCCCACAATCTCTTTCTCTCTGCCATCCACTTGACTTTCCTACCTCTATAGCTCCTAGACTGCCCACAATCTCTTTCACTCTGCCATCCACTTGACTTCCCTACCTCTATAGCTCCTAGACTGCCCACAATCTATTTCACTCTGCCATCCACTTGACTTCCCTACCTCTATAGCTCCTAGACTGCCCAAAATCTCTTTCACTCTGCCATCCACTTGACTTCCCTACCTCTATAGCTCCTAGACTGCCCTCAATCTCTTTCTCTCTGCCATCCACTTGACTTCCCTACCTCTATAGCTCCTAGACTGCCCACAATCTCTTTCTCTCTGCCATCCACTTGACTTCCCTACCTCTATAGCTCCTAGACTGCCCACAATCTCTTTCTCTCTGCCATCCACTTGACTTTCCTACCTCTATAGCTCCTAGACTGCCCACAATCTCTTTCACTCTGCCATCCACTTGACTTCCCTATCTCTATAGCTCCTAGACTGCCAACAATCTATTTCACTCTGCCATCCACTTGACTTCCCTACCTCTATAGCTCCTAGACTGCCCACAATCTCTTTCTCTCTGCCATCCACTTGACTTCCCTACCTCTGTAGCACAAACTGCCCACAATCTATTTCTCTCTGCAATCCACTTGACTTCCCTATCTCTATAGCTCCTAGACTGCCAACAATCTATTTCACTCTGCCATCCACTTGACTTCCCTACCTCTATAGCTCCTAGACTGCCCACAATCTCTTTCTCTCTGCCATCCACTTGACTTCCCTACCTCTGTAGCACAAACTGCCCACAATCTATTTCTCTCTGCAATCCACTTGACTTCCCTATCTCTATAGCTCCTAGACTGCCCACAATTTATTTCTCTCTGCCATCCACTTGACTTCCCTACCTCTGTAGCACAAACTGCCCACAATCTCTTTCTCTCTGCCATCCACTTGACTTCCCTACCTCTATAGCTCCTAGACTGCCCACAATCTATTTCTCTCTGCCATCCACTTGACTTCCCTACTTCTATAGCACCTAGACTGCCCTCAATCTATTTCACTCTGCCATCCACTTGACTTCCCTACCTCTATAGCTCCTAGACTGCCCACAATCTATTTCACTCTGCCATACACTTGACTTCCCTTCCTCTATAGCTCCTAGACTGCCCACAATCTATTTCATTCTGCCATCCACTTGACTTCCCTACCTCTATAGCTCATAGACTGCCCACAATCCATTTCACTCTGCCATCCACTTGACTTCCCTGCCTCTGTAGCACAAACTGCCCACAATCTATTTCTCTCTGCCATCCACTTGACTTCCCTACCTCTATAGCTCCTAGACTGCCCTCAATCTCTTTCTCTCTGCCATCCACTTGACTTCCCTATCTCTATAGCTCCTAGACTGCCCACAATCTATTTCTCTCTGCCATCCACTTGACTTCCCTACCTCTATAGCTCCTAGACTGCCCACAATCTATTTCTCTCTGCCATCCACTTGACTTCCCTACCTCTATAGCTCCTAGACTGCCCACAATCTATTTCACTCTGCCATACACTTGACTTCCCTACCTCTATAGCTCCTAGACTGCCCACAAACTCTTTCTCTCTGCCATCCACTTGACTTCCCTAACTCTGTAGCACAAACTGCCCACAATCTATTTCACTCTGCCATCCACTTGACTTCCCTACCTCTATAGCTCCTAGACTGCCCACAATCTCTTTCTCTCTGCCATCCACTTGACTTCCCTACCTCTATAGCTCCTAGACTGCCCACAATCTATTTCACTCTGCCATCCACTTGACTTCCCTACCTCTATAGCTCCTAGACTGCCCACAATCTCTTTCTCTCTGCCATCCACTTGACTTCCCTACCTCTATAGCTCCTAGACTGCCCACAATCTATTTCTCTCTGCCATCCACTTGACTTCCCTACCTCTATAGCTCCTAGACTGCCCACAATCTATTTCACTCTGCCATCCACTTGACTTCCCTACCTCTATAGCTCCTAGACTGCCCAAAATCTCTTTCACTCTGCCATACACTTGACTTCCCTACCTCTATAGCTCCTAGAATGCCCACAATCTCTTTCTCCCTGCCATCCACTTGACTTCCCTACCTCTTTTGTTCCTAGACTGCCCACAATCTATTTCACTCTGCCATCCACTTGACTTCCCTACCTCTATAGCTCCTAGACTGCCCACAATCTATTTCACTCTGCCATCCACTTGACTTCCCTATCTCTATAGCTCCTAGACTGCCCACAATCTATTTCTCTCTGCCATCCACTTGACTTCCCTACCTCTATAGCTCCTAGACTGCCCACAATCTATTTCTCTCTGCCATCCACTTGACTTCCCTACCTCTATAGCTCCTAGACTGCCCACAATCTATTTCTCTCTGCCATCCACTTGACTTCCCTACCTCTATAGCTCCTAGACTGCCCACAATCTCTTTCTCTCTGCCATCCACTTGACTTCCCTATCTCTATAGCTCCTAGACTATGCACAATCTCTTTCTCTCTGCCATCCACTTGACTTCCCTACCTCTGTAGCACAAACTGCCCACAATCTCTTTCTCTCTGCCATCCACTTGACTTCCCTACCTCTATAGCTCCTAGACTGACCACAATCTATTTCTCTCTGCCATACACTTGACTTCCCTATCTCTATAGCTCCTAGACTATGCACAATCTCTTTCTCTCTGCCATCCTCTTGACTTCCCTACCTCTGTAGCACAAACTGCCCACAATCTATTTCTCTCTGCAATCCACTTGACTTCCCTACCTCTATAGCTCCTAGACTGCCACAATCTATTTCTCTCTGCCATCCACTTGACTTCCCTACCTCTATAGCTCCTAGACTGCCCACAATCTCTTTCTCTCTGCCATCCACTTGACTTCCCTATCTCTATTGCTCCTAGACTGCCCACAACCTATTTCATTCTGCCATCCACTTGACTTCCCTACCTCTATAGCTCCTAGAATGCCTACAATCTATTTCACTCTGCTATCCACTTGACTTCCCTACCTCTTTAGCTCCTAGACTGCCCACACCCTATTTCACTCTGCCATCCACTTGACTTCCCTACCTCTATTGCTCCTAGACTGCCCACAATCTCTTTCTCTCTGCCATCCACTTGACTTCCCTACCTCTATAGCTCCTAGACTGCCCACAATCTATTTCTCTCTGCCATCCACTTGACTTCCCTACCTCTATAGCTCCTAGACTGCCCACAATCTCTTTCTCTCTGCCATCCACTTGACTTGCCTATCTCTACAGCTCCTAGACTACGCACAATCTCTTTCTCTCTGCCATCCACTTGACTTCCCTACCTCTGTAGCACAAACTGCCCACAATCTCTTTCTCTCTGCCATCCACTTGACTTCCCTACCTCTATAGCTCCTAGACTGCCCACAATCTATTTCTCTCTGCCATCCACTTGACTTCCCTACCTCTGTAGCACAAACTGCCCACAATCTATTTCTCTCTGCCATCCACTTGACTTCCCTACCTCTATAGCTCCTAGACTGCCCACAATCTATTTCTCTCTGCCATCCACTTGACTTCCCTACTTCTATAGCACCTAGACTGCCCTCAATCTATTTCACTCTGCCATCCACTTGACTTCCCTACCTCTATAGCTCCTAGACGGCCCACAATCTATTTCACTCTGCCATACACTTGACTTCCCTACCTCTATTGCTCCTAGACTGCCCACAAACTCTTTCTCTCTGCCATCCACTTGACTTTCCTACCTCTGTAGCACAAACTGCCCACAATCTATTTCTCTCTGCCATCCACTTGACTTCCCTACTTCTATAGCACCTAGACTGCCCTCAATCTATTTCACTCTGCCATCCACTTGACTTCCCTACCTCTATAGCTCCTAGACTGCCCACAATCTATTTCTCTCTGCCATCCACTTGACTTCCCTACTTCTATAGCACCTAGACTGCCCTCAATCTATTTCACTCTGCCATCCACTTGACTTCCCTACCTCTATAGCTCCTAGACTGCCCACAATCTATTTCACTCTGCCATACACTTGACTTCCCTACCTCTATTGCTCCTAGACTGCCCACAAACTCTTTCTCTCTGCCATCCACTTGACTTTCCTACCTCTGTAGCACAAACTGCCCACAATCTATTTCTCTCTGCCATCCACTTGACTTCCCTACCTCTATAGCTCCTAGACTGCCCACAATCTATTTCACTCTGCCATCCACTTGACTTCCCTACCTCTATAGCTCCTAGACTGCCCACAATCTATTTCACTCTGCCATCCACTTGACTTCCCTACCTCTATAGCTCCTAGACTGCCCACAATCTCTTTCTCTCTGCCATCCACTTGACTTCCCTACCTCTATAGCTCCTAGACTGCCCACAATCTATTTCTCTCTGCCATCCACTTGACTTCCCTACCTCTATAGCTCCTAGACTGCCCACAATCTCTTTCTCTCTGCCATCCACTTGACTTCCCTACCTCTATAGCTCCTAGACTGCCCACAATCTATTTCTCTCTGCCATCCACTTGACTTCCCTACCTCTATAGCTCCTAGACTGCCCACAATCTCTTTCTCTCTGCCATCCACTTGACTTCCCTATCTCTATAGCTCCTAGACTACGCACAATCTCTTTCTCTCTGCCATCCACTTGACTTCCCTACCTCTGTAGCACAAACTGCCCACAATCTCTTTCTCTCTGCCATCCACTTGACTTCCCTACCTCTATAGCTCCTAGACTGCCCACAATCTATTTCTCTCTGCCATCCACTTGACTTCCCTACCTCTGTAGCACAAACTGCCAACAATCTATTTCTCTCTGCCATCCACTTGACTTCCCTACCTCTATAGCTCCTAGACTACCCACAATCTATTTCTCTCTGCCATCCACTTGACTTCCCTACTTATATAGCACCTAAACTGCCCTCAATCTATTTCACTCTGCCATCCACTTGACTTCCCTACCTCTATAGCTCCTAGACTGCCCACAATCTATTTCACTCTGCCATCCACTTGACTTCCCTTCCTCTATAGCTCCTAGACTGCCCACAATCTATTTCATTCTGCCATCCACTTGACTTCCCTACCTCTGTAGCACAAACTGCCCACAATCTATGTCTCTCTGCCATCCACTTGACTTCCCTACCTCTATAGCTCCTAGACTGCCCAAAATCTATTTCTCTCTGCCATCCACTTGACTTCCCTACCTCTATAGCTCCTAGACTGCCCACAATCTATTTCACTCTGCCATCCACTTGACTTCCCTACCTCTATAGCACAAACTGCCCACAATCTATGTCTCTCTGCCATCCACTTGACTTCCCTACCTCTATAGCTCCTAGACTGCCCAAAATCTATTTCTCTCTGCCATCCACTTGACTTCCCTACTTCTATAGCTCCTAGACTGCCCACAATCTATTTCTCTCTGCCATACACTTGACTTCCCTACCTCTATAGCTCCTAGACTGCCCACAATCTCTTTCACTCTGCCATCCACTTGACTTCCCTACCTCTATAGCTCCTAGACTGCCCACAATCTATTTCACTCTGCCATCCACTTGACTTCCCTACCTCTATAGCTCCTAGACTGCCCACAATCTCTTTCTCTCTGCCATCCACTTGACTTCCCTACCTCTATAGCTCCTAGACTGCCCACAATCTATTTCATTCTGCCATCCACTTGACTTCCCTACCTCTGTAGCACAAACTGCCCACAATCTCTTTCTCTCTGCCATCCACTTGACTTCCCTACCTCTATAGCTCCTAGACTGCCCACAATCTATTTCTCTCTGCCATACACTTGACTTCCCTATCTCTATAGCTCCTAGACTATGCACAATCTCTTTCTCTCTGCCATCCTCTTGACTTCCCTACCTCTGTAGCACAAAGTGCCCACAATCTATTTCTCTCTGCAATCCACTTGACTTCCCTACCTCTATAGCTCCTAGACTGCCCACAGTCTATTTCTCTCTGCCATCCACTTGACTTCCCTACCTCTATAGCTCCTAGACTGCCCACAATCTCTTTCTCTCTGCCATCCACTTGACTTCCCTATCTCTATTGCTCCTAGACTGCCCACAACCTATTTCATTCTGCCATCCACTTGACTTCCCTACCTCTATAGCTCCTAGAATGCCTACAATCTATTTCACTCTGCTATCCACTTGACTTCCCTACCTCTTTAGCTCCTAGACTGCCCACACCCTATTTCACTCTGCCATCCACTTGACTTCCCTACCTCTATTGCTCCTAGACTGCCCACAATCTCTTTCTCTCTGCCATCCACTTGACTTCCCTACCTCTATAGCTCCTAGACTGCCCACAATCTATTTCTCTCTGCCATCCACTTGACTTCCCTACTTCTATAGCACCTAGACTGCCCTCAATCTATTTCACTCTGCCATCCACTTGACTTCCCTACCTCTATAGCTCCTAGACTGCCCACAATCTATTTCACTCTGCCATACACTTGACTTCCCTACCTCTATTGCTCCTAGACTGCCCACAAACTCTTTCTCTCTGCCATCCACTTGACTTCCCTACCTCTGTAGCACAAACTGCCCACAATCTATTTCTCTCTGCCATCCACTTGACTTCCCTACCTCTATAGCTCCTAGACTGCCCACAATCTCTTTCACTCTGCCATCTACTTGACTTCCCTACCTCTATAGCTCCTAGACTGCCCACAATCTCTTTCACTCTGCCATCCACTTGACTTCCCTACCTCTATAGCTCCTAGACTGCCCACAATCTCTTTCACTCTGCCATCCACTTGACTTCCCTACCTCTATAGCTCCTAGACTGCCCACAATCTATTTCTCTCTGCCATACACTTGACTTCCCTACCTCTATAGCTCCTAGACTGCCCTCAATCTCTTTCTCTCTGCCATCCACTTGACTTCCCTACCTCTATAGCTCCTAGACTGCCCACAATCTATTTCACTCTGCCATCCACTTGACTTCCCTACCTCTATAGCTCCTAGACTGCCCACAATCTCTTTCTCTCTGCCATCCACTTGACTTCCCTACCTCTATAGCTCCTAGACTGCCCACAATCTATTTCATTCTGCCATCCACTTGACTTCCCTACCTCTGTAGCACAAACTGCCCACAATCTATTTCTCTCTGCCATCCACTTGACTTCCCTACCTCTATAGCTCCTAGACTGCCCACAATCTCTTTCTCTCTGCCATCGACTTGACTTTCCTACCTCTATAGCTCCTAGACTGCCCACAATCTCTTTCACTCTGCCATCCACTTGACTTTCCTATCTCTATAGCTCCTAGACTGCCCACAATCTCTTTCACTCTGCCATCCACTTGACTTTCCTATCTCTATAGCTCCTAGACTGCGCACAATCTCTTTCTCTCTGCCATCCACTTGACTTCCCTATCTCTGTAGCACAGACTGCCCAGAATATATTTCTCTCTGCCATCAAATGGACTTCCCTACCTCTATAGCTCCTAGACTTCCCACAATCTCTTTCTCTCTGCCATCAACTTGACATGCCAAGCAGTTGAGGAGGAAGATACCAATGCGATGACTGTAGTCATCTCGTTGAGCTCGCTCTAACATCCGCAGTAGAAAGTTAACCAGCTTCTCATAGCAGTACATCTGGTGTGCAGAAACAACAATGCCACAGCAAAAGTCATGATCTTGTTACATACTCTACAAAACAAAAATCTATCCACCAAATGATGTCAAATGAATGGAGGTGGAGAATCATATCTCCTCCTCTGTATACCTGTCCTCATAACAGTATTGTCATCTGAACATTTGCCAGGGCTTTACCCCTGTGTGAGAGGTATGCATGACAGTATTGTCATCTGAACAATTGCCCGGGCTTTACCCCTGTGTGAGAGGTATGCATGACAGTATTGTCATCTGAACATTTGCCAGGGCTTTACCCGTGTGAGAGGTATGCATGACAGTATTGTCATCTGAACATTTGCCAGGGCTTTACTCGTGTGTGAGAGGTATGCATGACAGTATTGTCATCTGAACATTTGCCAGGGCTTTACCCGTGTGAGAGGTATGCATTACAGTATTGTCATCTGAACATTTGCCAGGGCTTTACCCGTGTGAGAGGTATGCATTACAGTATTGTCATCTGAATATTTGCCAGGGCTTTACCCCTGTGTGAGAGGTATGCATGACAGTATTGTCATCTGAACATTTGCCAGGGCTTTACCCCTGTGTGAGAGGTATGCATTACAGTATTGTCATCTGAACATTTGCCAGGGCTTTACCCGTGTGTGAGAGGTATGCATGACAGTATTGTCATCTGAACATTTGCCAGGGCTTTACCCGTGTGAGAGGTATGCATGACAGTATTGTCATCTGAACATTTGCCAGGGCTTTACCCGTGTGAGAGGTATGCATGACAGTATTGTCATCTGAACATTTGCCAGGGCTTTACCCGGGTGAGAGGTATGCATGACAGTACTCACCACATCATGAGGGATGTTGAAGATTGACAGAGTCAGGCATCCATTTCTCAACATCTGTGCAACAACATAGTGTATTAGTTTATCAGATATGCCTGAATGTGTGCAAAACATAGCGAAGAAATAAATCAGATATATCACAACATCTGAACACGGTAGAGTATGAATATATCAGACATATCTCAATATTTGAACAAGGTGCAGTAAGAATATATCTGTCATATCTCAATATCTGAACAAGGTGCAGTATGAATATATCAGATATATCTCAATATATGAACAAGGTGCAGTATGAATATATCAGATATATCACAACATCTGAACATGGTAGAGTAGGAATATATCAGATATATCTCAATATCTGAACAAGGTGCAGTATGAATATATCAGATATATCTCAATATCTGAAAAAAGGTGCAGTATTAATATATCAGATATATCTCAATATCTGAACAAAGTAGTATGAATATATCAGATATATCTCAATATCTGAACAAGGTGCAGTATGAATATATCAGACATATCTCAATATCTGAAAAAAGGTGCAGTATTAATATATCAGATATATCTCAATATCTGAACAAAGTAGTATGAATATATCAAATATCTCAATATCTGAACAAGGTGCAGTATGAATAGATCAGACATATCTCAATAGCTGAACAAGGTGCAGTATGAATATATCAGACATATCTCAATATCTGAACAGGGTGCAGTATGAATATATCAGATACATCTCAACACCTGAACAAGGTGCAGTATGAATATATCAGATATATCTCAATATCTGAACAAGGTGCAGTATGAATATATCAGATATATCTCAATATCTGAACAAGGTGCAGTATGAATATATCAGATATATCTCAATATCTGAACAAGGTCCAGTATGGATATATCTGTCATATCTCAATATCTGAACAGGGTGCAGTATGAATATATCAGCTACATCTCAACACCTGAACAAGGTGCAGTATGAATATACCAGATATATGTACATCTACACAACATCTTTTAAGAAAATATCAGTTACATCTCCGCAACTGAGCAACATAGTGTTTGAATGTATCATAAGGTATACATAAGGTAGCATTATGAACATCAAACTGAAATTTAAGAATGTGAAACTGCAACTTCTTTTGTGTTGATATGAGGAATGATCATGGCATAACCCTTTATTCTTATTTAACTAATAAACTTACTGTGATGCGATAAGCACAAGGCTTGAGTTCTTCTTGGTACTCACAGTTTGTTCTGTGGGGTATGTCTCCATTGCACGCAGAAGAAGGCTGATAATCTTCCTGAAAACCATCCCTTATGTCAGCCTAATGTACCATACATATACATTCTCTTGGTGTTGGCATATCCCAAGCACAAGTGGTAAATCTTATCTAAAGATATAATCTTTGTTTCATTCAGTTTTACTTCATATAAGGACATACTGTGAAAATAGAACCAGGAGACATGTTCCAGCATTCATTCTATGACGAGACTTGTGACTTTTCTAGTCTGGCATTTTGGATATTTTCCTCAATGAAGTCATGATTCTGAACAATTCAGGACAGTGTGTTTTTGTTGTTTGGTATGTTTGGCCACTACCAGGTGTCAGTGACTCACCTCCTCTGTTTCTGGGTGATGTAGTCCTTCTGCTCCCCCTTGGCAATATAGAACAGTGATGCACTGAAACAACAGTCACTTATCACACAGTGATGCACTGAAAAAACAGTCACTTATCACATAGTGATGCACTGAAACAACAGTCACTTATCACACAGTGATGCACTGAAACAACACAGTCACTTATCACACAGTGATGCACTGAAACAACAGCCACTTATCACACAGTGATGCACTGCAACAACACAGTCACTTATCACACAGTGATGCACTGCAACAACAGTCACTTATCACACTGTGATGCACTAAAACAACAGTCACTTATCACACAGTGATGCGCTGAAACAACATAGTCACTTATCACACAGTGATGCACTGAAACAACAGTCACTTATCACACAGTGATGCACTGAAACAACAGTCACTTATCACATAGTGATGCACTGAAACAACACAGTCACTTATCACACAGTGATGCACTGAAACAACACAGTCACCTATCACACAGTGATGCACTGCAACAACACAGTCACTTATCACACAGTGATGCACTGCAACAACACAGTCACTTATCACACAGTGATGCACTGCAACAACACAGTCATTTATCACACAGTGATGCACTGCAACAACACAGTCACTTATCACACAGTGACGCACTGCAACAACATTGTCACTTATCACACAGTGATGCACTGAAACAACAGCCACTTATCACACAGTGATGCACTGCAACAACACAGTCACTAATCACACAGTGATGCACTGCAACAACACAGTCACTTATCACACAGTGATGCACTGCAACAACACAGTCACTTATCACACAGTGATGCACTGCAACAACACAGTCATTTATCACACAGTGATGCACTGCAACAACACAGTCACTTATCAGACAGTGTCGCACAATTTTTGGTAAAAAATGAGAATATATTGATTTTGAATTTTTTTCCTAGTGATATTCAAAAGGACATAGATAGTATTTGAGTCCTCTGTTAGCATAGTGTGGGGGGGAGGCAAGGCATTAACATTCATCAAGATGGTAAAACCCATCAAGACAGCAATAAGTATATCATTTGAAAGGGAATTATCCCAGAATTAGTCATTCATATTCCCATACTTCTATCTAATACCAGATATACAGTATCTAACTGCCAAATGGCTCCAGACACCCAGGGTGAGGCTATTACTCAGCATATTTATATGAGGGAAGTGTCATGCTCATGCTCTGCTTGATACCCGAGGATGAATTCAACTTAGTCCTTCCTGATGATTACTTGTCTTGATAAATATGTAAATGTCACCTGGTCCCTGGCTGGGTCAGTCTGGTTTTATATATATATCCAGACACATCCAGACACATCCAGACACATCCAGAGTGACCCAGTCAGGGACCAGGTGACATGTATACCCATGAACACTACTTATGCACAACAGGGAGAGGAACACCCTTTGTAATTTACACTGGGCCATCACAAACTTCCAGCTCTCTGAGCTTTGTCGTTTCAGAGTATTCGGTGCTGGTGAGGTAAAGCTGTGCACCTTACCTGCCAACAATCTGCACCTGTTTGTCCCACAGGTGGCGCTTCATTCCAGCCAAGATGGCCTGAAACATCACATTCTTCCATCAATCATATGGAGATGAATAAGAGCCAGTAATATTTGTAGCAACTGATCAAATGGCTCGATATCTGTTTGGGATGGCCACCACCTGTCATGTCATAATTCATAACTTCAGCAAATAAGGTGATGATCTACTTCATATTGAAGTTTGACACCTTTTAATATATATTCTGAGGCACATTAGGTATGAGGTTTCAACATACAGTCAAGTCTCGTTAATCCGACACTCGTTAATCCGACACTCGGCTTTATCCGACACAAATGATGGGAACCGATTGATTCAGTGCTATTTAGTCCCGTTAATCCGACATTCTCGCACTCCGACTCCGACACACCTAATTTGCAACGAATTACCGAAATCACTCATTAATCAGTCTCGTTAATCCGACACAGTGATCAGCGTACTCCGTGGTCATCTGCCCGCGAGTACACAGCCAGTGTTTTGACACGCACTGGCTGCAGAGATTAACTTAACAATTAACAGGAAAAACTATTCAAACCTGTATGTACAAAGCTATACAAATGTAGTTTACAAATTGAAGCCAGATTAATGTGCATGAAGCCAGTTTTAAATACGAACAGGTATATAAAACATGGTCGACTCACCATGGTTGACTGGTATGTAAACAAGAAAGCATGGATGACTTCATTAATATTCAAAGCCTGGCTACTGATCTTGGATCGCCAAATGCGATTGGAGCAATGCCACGTGGTATTGCTGTTGGACAACGCCCCAATGCTACTGTCGACATAACTAATATGAAATGTCACTTTTTGCCACCAAACACCACTTCGCACATTCAGCCACTAGATGCCGGGATCATAAAGAATTTCAAGCTTTATTATAAGAAACAGCAAATGAAATTACACCTCGCAACCACAAGCCCTAGACGTCAAGCGAGCAGGGGAGAAATGTGCCTTCAAAATGTTAGAAACAGAAAACACTGACAGACTATTTTAAGTAGATGAAGCAAGTTGTTAAGACAGTAGCACTTGCATTTACACAAGGAAACGTGTGTCGTTGATGTGATAAATTCAGTGAGTAATGTCTCTATTGTTATGTATAAATGGGAAAATTATTATTATTTTTGCACTGTCATTAATTATAAATTAAGGAACGAATGAATAAACAACATAACAATATTAATATTTCGTTTTTAATGATTTTATTACAAGGTACACACGGTTATTATCTATCGTGAAGACGTCCGATTTTCGATCACAAATCAATTAATTTCGTTAATCCGACATACTCGTTAATCCGACACAATCATGTGCAACCAACGATGTCGGATTAACGAGACTTGACAAATAAGGTGATGATCTACTTCATATTGAAGTTTGACACCTTTTAATATATATTCTGAGGCACATTAGGTATGAGGTTTCAACATATATGTCGTAAGTTCACAGTTGAGGAGTGAGTGAGTGAGTATGGTTTTACGCCGCTTTTAGCATTATTCCAGCAATATCACGGCAGGGGACACCAGAAATGGGCTTCACACACTGTACCCATGGGAATCAAACCCGGTTCATTGGTGTGACGAGTGAACGCTTTAACCCCTAGGCTACCCGACCGCCCCTCACAGTTGAGGAAACAAAATCAGCTGGTAGTCAACTATTAACATGATAAGCAGATCTTCATAAACAATCGTGATAGACTGACTGACACACAATGAAAACACATAATCAAATTTAACTCAAGCATCAGACAAGAGCTACTTTTGTGTAAAAGTCCAACTCAAAACACAAATGAGATTTGAACGACAACATTGTTGCATTTGATTATCTCATGCCTAAATACATAACTTGATTTGATCTTTGAGGCCATTTTGACCAATATTACAAAAATCAGATGTGTTTTCAAAGTATGTCACTATATATCCCTAACATATCACAAACATAACTATGCAATGAACATAAGAACACATAGGAATGTGGCATTACATTTACCTGTACCTCTGGGTCACCTTACCTCAAGAACTGCACACTGTCTGTTGACAGCAAAATTACGGAAGAGATGGAAGAGACTGTTTAGCGCCTTGATGAGCAGACCGCATCTGTCCTGGTACACCTGCAGGGACAGTAGAACCTGCTCCTCATCACTCTCACCGCTCACCTGTAACACCAGCATCCGCACACTGCATGATCACCCTACACAACACCTGTCCTGGTTCACCTGTAACACCAGCATCCGCACACTGCATGATCACCCTACACAACAACTGTCCTGGTTCACCTGTAACACCAGCATCCGCACACTGCATGATCACCCTACACAACACCTGTCCTGGTTCACCTGTAACACCAGCATCCGCACACTGCATGATCACCCTACACAACAACTGTCCTGGTTCACCTGTAACACCAGCATCCGCACACTGCATGATCACCCTACACAACACCTGTCCTGGTTCACCTGTAACACCAGCATCCGCACACTGCATGATCACCCTACACAACACCTGTCCTGGTTCACCTGTAACACCAGCATCCGCACACTGCATGATCACCCTACACAACACCTGTCCTGGTTCACCTGCAACACCAGCATCCGCACACTGCATGATCACCCTACACAACACCTGTCCTGGTTCACCTGTAACACCAGCATCCGCACACTGCATGATCACCCTACACAACACCTGTCCTGTTTCACCTGTAACACCAGCATCCGCACACTGCATGATCACCCTACACAACACCTGTCCTGGTTCACCCGCAACACCAGCATCCGCACACTGCATGATCACCCTACACAACACCTGTCCTGTTTCACCTGTAACACCAGCATCCGCACACTGCATGATCACCCTACACAACAACTGTCCTGGTTCACCTGTAACACCAGCATCCGCACACTGCATGATCACCCTACACAACACCTGTCCTGGTTCACCTGTAACACCAGCATCCGCACACTGCATGATCACCCTACACAACACCTGTCCTGTTTCACCTGTAACACCAGCATCCGCACACTGCATGATCACCCTACACAACAACTGTCCTGGTTCACCTGTAACACCAGCATCCGCACACTGCATGATCACCCTACACAACACCTGTCCTGGTTCACCTGTAACACCAGCACCCATTGGAGGTTTAAAGTGTATCAGAATATTTTAAGATGCACAAGGCTTTATTGCAATATGTATCACGATATATTGTATAATTCTAAATTTTAAATTCAGAAGCAATTTGAAACACCAGTGTTTGAACTGAAGTGCATACCCTTTTTCCAGTTTATCCTACTATATGCTAGAATGTATAGTTCTGTAGTTGTATATATATTCAGCAATGGCATTAATGCACAGTTTGATACTATTTACCATTATTACTGCATAACGCATTCGCCTTTAAGTGTAAGTTAAGTGCTACTATTTGTGTGAAAATAGTCAAATGAAAGATTGTACGAAGGGACAATAATATAGGTATCAGCTGACATTACTCTTACTTCATCTTCCCGAAGCAAGCGTGTCCACTAGCCTATATCAAAGTCTAGTATCTACCCTTGCCACACCAAGGCCACTTTCCTTGGCGCGACCCTGGTGCCACCTCACGTAGATCACGTGTTGTGCCCTGTGTAATGAAAATGCGATATCCAATCAGATTGCTGTTCTTATCTTACTTAGCTTCACAAAGATCTAGTTGACCTAGTCATCCCTGACACAAAAACATAAGCATTCGTTGGGGGTTGAAAAGATGAAAAAGACGTGGCAACAAAGATAGGCAGTGGTAAATCACGTTCATACGAAGGTGTACCAGTCATGGATGTTGATTTTGTGAAGGTTCTCTGATTGGATTATCGATATGTGCGATAGTCCAATCATATTTAGCACAGGAAAGTGGGCTTGATGTGGCAAGGTGGAAACAAGTCTTTGATAAAAAGTCAAATGGACGCACTTGCCTCGGGAAGATGCTCTTACTATAACAATGTCATTTAGTTCAGTAGAAATTTATACAAAAGCACATTCAATTTTGTTTGTATACATGCAGCAAGCAGGCCATCGCAGATGTTACATCAGTAAATGTTGGACAATCTCAAATAAAGTTATCTGTTACATATGCTTGTCAGGAGTCTTGTGCTCACTAGACTGGACTACTGCAATAGTCTACACTGTTACATATGCTTGTCAGAAGTCTTGTGCTCACTAGACTGGACTACTACAATAGTCTACACTGTTACATATGCTTGTCAGAAGTCTTGTGCTCACTAGACTGGACTACTGCAGAAGTCTACACTGTTACATATGTCGGGGGGATCAAAAATGTAAAAGTGTAAGAAATACAGATAATGGACATCCTTAAATGACACAAGGTCACTTAAACCCCGGGAGGAAACAGAAATAAAAGACAGACCACTGCTCACCCGTTTGGCAGGTATATTTTTTCTGTAGCAGGCATCATGGGCACATCCAAAGAGACCCAGAAACTCCAGAGTCCGTCCCTCTAGTCCGGGGATACTACATGTAACGGCACTGCTGCAACATATGACATGACTCTACAACACCAGCTGCAACATAGAATGGACTCTACACCACCTGCTGCAACATATAATGGACTCTACAACACCACCTGCAACATATAATGGACGCTACAACACCACCTGCAACATATGACATGACTCTACAACACCACCTGCAACATATAATGGACTCTAAAACACCACCTGCAACATATAATGGGCTCTACAACACAAGCTGCAACATATAATGGACTCTACAACACCACCTGCAACATATGACATGACTCTACAAAACCAGCTGCAACATATAATGGACTCTACAACACCACCTGCAACATGTAATGGACTCTACAACACCACCTGCAACATATAATGGACTCTACAACACCAGCTGCAACATATAATGGACTCTACAACACCACCTGCAACATATGACATGACTCTACAACACCACCTGCAACATATGACATGACTCTACAAAACCAGCTGCAACATATAATGGATTTTACAACACCAGCTGCAACACATAATGGATTTTACAACACCAGCTGCAACATATAATGGGATTTCAACACCAGCTGCAACATATAATGGACTCTACAACACCAGCTGCAACATATAATGGGATTTCAACACCAGCTGCAACATATAATGGACTCTACAACACCAGCTGCAACATATAATGGACTCTACAACACCAGCTGCAACATATAATGGACTCTACAACACCACCTGCAACATATAATGGACCCTACAACACCAGCTGCAACATATAATGGACTCTACAACACCAGCTGCAACATATAATGGACTCTACAACACCACCTGCAACATATAATGGACCCTACAACACCACCTGCAACATATAATGGACTCTACAACACCAGCTGCAACATATAATGGACTCTACAACACCACCTGCAACATGTAATGGACTCTACAACACCACCTGCAACATATAATGGACTCTACAACACCACCTGCAACATGTAATGGACTCTACAACACCACCTGCAACATATAATGGACTCTACAACACCACCTGCAACATGTAATGGGCTCTACAACACCACCTGCAACATATAATGGACTCTACAACACCAGCTGCAACATATAATGGACTCTACAACACCACCTGCAACATATGACATGACTCTACAACACCACCTGCAACATATGACATGACTCAACAACACCAGCTGCAACATATAATGGATTTTACAACACCAGCTGCAACACATAATGGATTTTACAACACCAGCTGCAACATATAATGGGATTTCAACACCAGCTGCAACATATAATGGACTCTACAACACCAGCTGCAACATATAATGGACTCTACAACACCAGCTGCAACATATAATGGACTCTACAACACCACCTGCAACATATAATGGACCCTACAACACCAGCTGCAACATATAATGGACTCTACAACACCAGCTGCAACATATAATGGACTCTACAACACCACCTGCAACATATAATGGACCCTACAACACCACCTGCAACATATAATGGACTCTACAACACCAGCTGCAACATATAATGGACTCTACAACACCACCTGCAACATATAATGGACCCTACAACACCAGCTGCAACATATAATGAACTCTACAACAGCTGCAACATATAATGGACCCTACAACACCAGCTGCAACATATAATGAACTCTACAACAGCTGCAACATATAATGGACTCTACACCACCTGCTGCAAGTTAAAACATGACCACTGACTACAGTTTTCACAGTCATTACACCACACTGACCAACTGCCATTTTTCTGCTGAGCTCACGTCTTGGCATGGCACATGCACATCACCAACACATTCTTTGCTTGCATTATTTGGTCACAGTAATTGCAGCCGTAAGTTTACAATCAGTCAGCAATAGTTGAGACTTTTCTTCATTCATGGCTTCATGAAACATGAGTTCCCTTATCTTTTTACAACTGTATACATTTTATTTCATTCTGAAACAAATGGCTGAGTAATAGCCACAAAAAGGTTTTTGAATATTTGGTGAACCAAAAATGAACAATATGCAATTAGCTCCTCATATTACAAATTGACAAATTTATGTGCGAGCCAAAATCTTTCTGACATAAATTATTAGTCAAGTCTTATCCTTTGTAAACCAGTTTTTTGATTTGACACCTAAATGTGTGCAGGTATGAAATGTGTATTAACCTGTCCATGTGTTGTGTGTCCTCCCCGTGCTGGTTCCTGCTCGGTCTGAATGACTGGATCTCAGCCTTCTCAAACCCAGCCAAGTTGGTGCCTGAGATGTCAAGTGATGTGAGACGAGGGAGGCCGGCAACTAACTGCTGGAGATACTGTTCGGGGCGGGGGTACATCACAGGAGTCTCACACTGGCCTTGAGATACATCCAGGTGTCTAAAACAACATATACAATTATGACTGTAACTACTGTAAGCATGGTAAAGATGAAAACTTATTTCAGGTGTATCATGGAGATATACAACACAGGTGTGATGACATCATGATGGAGATATACAACACAGGTGTGATGACATGATCATGGAGATATACAACACAGGTGTGATGACATCATGATGGAGATATACAACACAAGTGTGATGACATGATCATGGAGATATACAACACAAGTGTGATGACATGATCATGGAGATATACAACACAGGTGTGATGACATCATGATGGAGATATACAACACAAGTGTGATGACATCATGATGGAGATATACAACACAGGTGTGATGACATCATGATGGAGATATACAACACAGGTGTGATGACATCATGATGGAGATATACAACACAAGTGTGATGACATGATCATGGAGATATACAACACAAGTGTGATGACATGATCATGGAGATATACAACACAAGTGTGATGACATGATCATGGAGATATACAACACAAGTGTGATGACATGATCATGGAGAGCTACAACACAGGTGTGATGACATCATGATGGAGATATACAACACAAGTGTGATGACATCATGATGGAGATATACAACACAGGTGTGATGACATCATGATGGAGATATACAACACAAGTGTGATGACATGATCATGGAGATATACAACACAAGTGTGATGACATGATCATGGAGATATACAACACAAGTGTGATGACATGATCATGGAGAGCTACAACACAGGTGTGATGACATCATGATGGAGATATACAACACAAGTGTGATGACATGATCATGGAGATATACAACACAAGTGTGATGACATGATCATGGAGATATACAACACAAGTGTGATGACATCATCATGGAGAGATACAACACAGGTGTGATGACATCATGATGGAGATATACAACACAAGTGTGATGACATGATCATGGAGATATACAACACAAGTGTGATGACATGATCATGGAGATATACAACACAAGTGTGATGACATCAGTATGGAGATATACAACACAGGTGTGATGACATCAGTGTGGAGATATACAACACAAGTGGGATGACATCATGATGGAGATATACAACACAAGTGTGATGACATCATGATGGAGATATACAACACAGGTGTGATGACATCAGTGTGGAGATATACAACACAAGTGGGATGACATCATGATGGAGATATACAACACAAGTGTGATGACATCATGATGGAGATATACAACACAGGTGTGATGACATCATGATAGAGATATACAACACAAGTGTGATGACATCATGATGGAGATATACAACACAAGTGTGATGACATCATGATGGAGATATACAACACAAGTGTGATGACATGATCATGGAGATATACAACACAAGTGTGATGACATCATGATGGAGACATACAACACAAGTGTGATGACATCAGTGTGGAGATACTACACAAGTGTGAAGACATCAGTGTGGAGATATACAACACAAGTGTGATGACATCATGATGGAGATATACAACACAAGTGTGATGACATCATCATGGAGATATACAACACAAGTGTAATGACATCAGTATGGAGATATACAACACAAGTGTGATGACATCATCATGGAGATAAACAACACAAGTGTGATGACATCATGATGGAGATATACAACACAGGTGTGATGACATCATGATGGAGATATACAACACAGGTGTGATGACATCAGTGTGGAGATATACAACACAAGTGTGATGACATCATGATGGAGATATACAACACAAGTGTGATGACATCATGATGGAGATATACAACACAGGTGTGATGACATCATGATGGAGATATACAACACAGGTGTGATGACATCAGTATGGAGATATACAACACACGTTAGATGACACCAGTATGGAGATAAACAACACAGGTGTGATGACATCATGATGGAGATATACAACACAAGTGTGATGACATCATGATGGAGATATACAACACAAATGTGATGACATCAGTATGGAGATATACAACACAAGTGTGATGACATCATCATGGAGATATACAACACAAGTGTGATGACATCATCATGGAGATATAAAACACAAGTGTGATGACATCAGTATGGAGATATACAACACAAGTGTGATGACATCAGTGTGGAGATATACAACACAAGTGTGATGACATCATGATGGAGATATAAAACACAAGTGTGATGACATCATGATGGAGATATACAACACAAGTGTGATGACATCATGATGGAGATATACAACAAAGGTGTGATGACATCAGTGGGGAGATATACAACACAAGTATGATGACATCAGTATGGAAATATACAACACAGGTGTGATGACATCAGTGTGGAGATATACAACACAGGTGCGATGACATCATGATGGAGATATACAACACAAGTGTGATGACATCAGTGTGGAGATACTACACAGGTGTGATGACATCAGTATGGAGATATACAACACAAGTGTGATGATATCAGTGTGGAGATACTACACAGGTGTGATGACATCAGTATGGAGATATACAACACAGGTGTGATGACATCAGTGTGGAGATACTACACAAGTGTGATGACATGATCATGGAGATATACAACACAAGTGTGATGACATCAGTGTGGAGATACTACACAGGTGTGATGACATCATTGTGGAGATATACAACACAAGTGTGATGACATCAGTGTGGAGATACTACACAGGTGTGATGACATCATTGTGGAGATATACAACACAGGTGTGAAGACATCATGATGGAGATATACAACACAGGTGTGATGACATCAGTATGGAGATATACAACACAGGTGTGATGACATCAGTATGGAGATATACAACACAGGTGTGATGACATCATGATGGAGAGATACAACACAAGTGTGATGACATCATGATGGAGATATACAACACAGGTGTGATGACATCATGATGGAGATATACAACACAAGTGTGATGACATCATGATGGAGATATACAACACAAGTGTGATGACATCAGTATGGAGATATACAACACAAGTGTGATGACATCAGTGTGGAGATATACAACACAAGTGTGATGACATCAGTATGGAGATATACAACACAGGTGTGATGACATCAGTATGGAGATATACAACACAAGTGTGATGACATCGTGATGGAGATATACAACACAAGTGTGATGACATCAGTATGGAGATATACAACACAAGTGTGATGACATCAGTGTGGAGATATACAACACAAGTGTGATGACATCAGTATGGAGATATACAACACAAGTGTGTTGACATCATGATGGAGATATACAACACACATTGAACACACACACACACACAATCTCTCAAACAGGAATTACTGAGGGCCTATTCTGTCCCAGAACTTCCCCAGGCCCATAAATTTAATTGGTCCTACTTATGATAATGACATTTCTGTACTTACTTCAGCTGTTTGAGTTGGCACAAACTGTCAATAACCGCATCCAAGTCGTGGATGTAGACATCCGCAAGGCTGAGTGACATCAGGTGCTGTAAGCACTGGAAGTGGGGGAAGGTTTCTGTTGCAACATTACACTGAGTGAGGTCCAAGTGAGTCAGCAGCTTACACCAGCGGAATATATCATGTAGCTGTAAGGTTCCATCATGCCAGTTCTCTTCCAACTGGAAATCTCTCATGCACAATTTACGGAGGTGTGGACACTTCAATATTGGGTCATCATTTTTCTCAACATTTGCTGACGGTTCCCCATCAGAATCTGCTTCACTCTGTGTAGCAAAAATAGAATCTCCATCTCTAACGCCCTCAAACATATATGTGATGCTCTCTAACCGTAGTGATCGTAGGGTTTTCCCCATTGCATTGATGAATGGGATGCAGTCAGAGGACAGTCTTGTACAACAAGACAGGTCGAGTTCAGCAATAGGTTGATCTTTCACTAGACCTAGTCCACAGTCAGTCACATTAGAATTTGCTAAAGTTACCCGACTGAGTTGTGTCCCTCGAGTGTTACTGAATATGTTGAGGAAGCCATCTGCATTGCAGTGTACATGATCCACATGCTCCATGTAAAAGTCAAATATCTTATCACAGATTGTTTTAGGCAGGGACACTCCTGGGAAGAGGGTACACTTTGTGGTGTGATCTGTGGTTGTGGTGTGGTGTGTGAAGGTCTCCAGGTGCTCCACACAGTACTGGACACACAGGTCCTCCAGTGAGGCCGGCATGTTGCGAGGCCAACTCTCCATCCTGCCTGTAAACCAGAAGACATCTGCTGCACATAAATCAAGTAGAAGCCTAGCTTCAAACATCATTGCAGTGACTGACACAAAATCTGGTCCCAGGTCCGAGTCTAGCTGAGCACGTTCAAGTTAAATTTGAACAAAATACTATGCATCCCGTTACATGACTTTTGTTGACTGAGGAGTATGTAGCAGGACCAAATAGTCACATGGACAAGGTGTCCGACCTCGGATCAGAAGGTCCGTGGTTCGAATTCCATAGCGTGACTCAGACATTTTATGGCCACTACTCCAGCATGAAAAGAGACTAGGTATTTTGGTGGAAACAGCAGAATGTTCCAGTGGAAATGTACCAGTGCACACTTAAACTAGCTGTGTCATAAGCTAGCAGAAATATTTAAATAACATAATTGATTAGAATTCTTAAAAGCATTTTTAGAGACACTATTGCAGAATTATACAAACAACATATATGCTTTATAAACCCCGGAGAGGGTGGTGGTGGGGGTGGGCAACATTGCTGGGTAGAAACTCAAAACAACCAAGCATTTTTTATGTTATTCCACACCAAATATTCCAAGATCTTTAACATGCTGAGTGGTATTAAGAAGTTAATCTGTAACTGATGACAAGAACAAATTTGAAGATCTTGACTTAGCAATAGTCAAGAGTGTGTTGGGTTTAACGCTGCTTTTAACAGTATTCCGATTATATCGCGGCGTGTCAGCTTAATGTGGGAGGAAGGCCCGAAGTGATGCAGGTCTCAGACGTTTACCACTTCAGTGAAACCCACGAGGACGGGTATGGTGCTGACAAACCTAGAAACATAATCGGGTCAACCGGGATTCGAACCCACAATCATAGGTTTCTGGCGTGCCCAAAGGACGCAACTCTGCACAGCGAATCGCGGCGCCTTAGACGACTGGGTCACCCGTGCCCCCTTTTTGTCAAGAATTTTGTAAATTGAAAACATAGCCTTCTGACATAAACATGATAAAGGAACATAATATTCCATGCTGTTGTTGCATCATTGAATGAAAAGCTTGGATAAAATCTTCTGAGATCTATTACAAACCAGAGCTGTTGACAATACGACCAAATTTGGCACAGGTACTACAAGAACGTACCTAGGAAAATATTGTATTACACTTGTTCAAATCATCATATGTATTTTTGCATCTGACTCCCCATACATGTTTTTCAGTATATTTCTCCAAAATATGATTTCAGAACTACATTAGCAAACCAACAACAAAATCAGGCCTACCTTTAGAATACAGTACCACAAACTTTTCAAACATGTGACAACACCCTATGACGTAATTTGTAGTATTTTGTTGCCATTCACACTGGCAAAACAATGCCCTGTGATGTCAGTGGTGATCCTCCCAGTGATCTATCATCTCTATACGCAATGTCATTAAACACGCCCAGCGATGTTGAGAGTTTTGAATATTTGTTTACTAAATAAAGTCTGTGGGGGCGCATTTTATAGCAAGCGCTAGTTAATGAAAGCACTTTTATTTTCAATACATTTTTTTTTTTTTTTTTTTTTTGTAATTCAAGTGGCTAAAATGGTTATAAATGGGAACTATTATACATATAGTATTTGTTTCTGGTTCATTTATTTTCATCATGCACAAGAATGCAGTTTATTAGATAAATTATATTGGCGCTGAACACATCCAAATGTCGCCAGTGTTAGGGTAGGTTACCCCATACCTTATGCTCAGCCCTTGGATCCCCTTTACGATCAATCCACCCTTTACGATCATTAGGGTTAGGTACCCGTTTAGTGGCTATTATAGATTCTACAGCGGCTCCTAATATTCTTCACACAAAACCGTCGAGAAAACAGGATGAAACTGGAAACTGTCCTGGAACATTCAAACTAGCCACTTTCAACTGCTACATTTTTTCAGTACTGATTCAAAGCAAACTTACCCTTGTGTTGTGACTACCCATGCTCATGCCTCCCACGTTCCTTACTATTATCCACATCATCCTTACAGTGTTCCCTACCATACGTTTCTGTCACAAAAATCACCCGACCAATTATTAAATACCATGTCATTCATGAGTACCCGCGTGTTCGACGTCTGACGCTTGGAGCTGTTATCAGTTTGTGCCATATTGGCTCATTCCTCACCACTCGGTATCTTGTAGATTACGCAATGGGGTGAGTGTGATCATTCGTAAGTGTCCGTAGACTAAAGTCACGAGACACCATGCCCACCCGTAACCTTCGTAAGTGTCCGTCACCTATTCGACCCTTTTCGTTCAGTTCAGTAAAGTCGTAGGCATGACTAGGTAAATTTGCACTTTGTTTCACATTGTGGATGTAGCTCAGTCGGTTAGCTGTCGGGCAAACAATCAGAAGGTCGCGAGTTCGCATCAGACAGATTCTGACAAAAACTGGCTGCTTGTCTTTGTGACATGTGACCTACGGCAGAGATCATCCTCACGAGAAGTTGTGGTACTGTATTCTAAAGGTGCTCCCAAAATCTTATTGTCGTAGATCCACTTATTGTGTTGTAGATTAACCGGGAAACTGAACAACATTTTATGAACTTGTTTAATCCTCTGCACCAGACTCTTATAGGCTAAGTACAGCCCACAAAACGTGACACTAGGCTAAGTATAACTTACAAAACATGACACTGTTGGGGGTTATGAATTAGCATCATAAACCGATTTTCAGTACAGAAAACACCATTCGACTAGGCCCTACAACTTAAATAATCAATTGTTCCTTGATTTATTTTTTACGGAACGAATGCCTGCTACTGTCGGATAATGTGTGATTATCGTGCGGATATGTTTATGTCTCTGGATTAATTCTTACAGCACTTTGGTACTTGTCACAAAGTTAATGACTGACCGAGCAAGTTTTAACGTAAGGATTCAGAAAATACCAAATATTAGGATAGTATTACAATCACGTCTTTTATCATCACAGAGGCAGGCGTGTATGAAAGATATGAGAGTGGTACACTTTATCCTGATACCTAGTAATTGATGATTATCAGCTAAAATCCATTTGACACAAGGACATAAAGGTCTGTGTTGTCGTATGCCAATAGCCGGAAGTTGATGAAGGTCGAGGTCGGACGGGGAGGTAATAGCGATGGCACTCAAAACGGACCAGGTCCGAAATGGGCCTGTGTTAAAACGGAAAATATATTCACACAAGATAAACATATTCACGTAGGTTATGTTCCATCTAAGTACTTGTCCAAGATACGAAATAGCTGTTGGGGTCGTTATCAGAAGACTGTATATCATCCAACCTCATGGCCATCCGACTATGTTATGTCTAGAGGCACACAGGAACCACATAGCTCTTTCTTCAACAGATCTTTTCTTACGGAATAACGTTTCATTATTCTATCAATATAATCTCCATCCGAATATATGGGGAAACTGCTAAGATAGTACAGGCGGGAGAACCAGAAATAAATGCCCAAACTGTGAACATGGTTAAGAGAGTAGATTCCAGAACGAATAGCCAAACTTCCGTGAATGTTGTATTTATTACTTGTTAGGGTCTTGCTATTATGATGCGGTTACATACGTAATTACTAATTAACAGTAGTGAAAACATTTGTGTTGTTTTTTTGTTTGTTTTATGATTAGGCCTGTAATTTGTCTCTTAATTTGTATCACATATATAACAGAATTGTATGAGTTATTTCCAAACAACATCGACAGTGAGAGCAGGATGTTACTAGCCTCGTCTAAGAAAATTATCACAGGGATTGATGTCAAAGATTCACTGTTTCAAATCTTAAATCATACATTACACTAATTAATAGGTTCTTTGAAGCCAGGGTTCCTTTGAACGGACACATTTAATTATTAATGATGAGAAAATTGTAAATGAAGTAAAATCAGAAGTGGCTGCCCTGTTCCTGTCTTGAATGACCTTTTTGAGGAAAACTTTAAAACTTGTATACAGAAATCAAAGTCTCAGAAACCCCGGGATCATGAAAGCGGTCTTAGCTCAAATTCTGCTTAGCACGAATTTTGTCTTAGTTTTTAAGATTTTGCTTAGCTAAGATTCGGTCTGAATCTTGAAATGGTCTTAGCAAAACCTTAGCTAAGTCTAAGTCTAAGACCGTCATCATAGGGACACACGCACGTTATACCGTACTACGGTAATCATTGGATGCCGAGGTTTTTTCTGACGGACATTTGCCTAAGATCGGAAAAGTGAAGGTTGTGCGAGAATTGCGCTCATGCGGCACTAGATCTACCTCCGGCTATAAAATTACGCAGAGGTGGAGAATATTAAATTTCCTATTTGATGGCGTAAATCTGACTGTAAATATTAAACCAGTTTGAAAAAAGACACTGCTACGTTTTGTCCGAGAATTTATTCTGCGTTGAAAAACAGGAAAATTCTCCGCGTTTTAGCAAACACCGATAAAAGTACTGAGCGACGATATTTTATATTTAGCAGCCTTACCGAAACTGTGAGCGAACAACATACCGCCAAATATTTGAAGGACATAAATATATATCAAATGGAGTTATATGCGTATGTATAACGACATAAATTCAACGCAAAAATACCCTGCCGTAAATGACGAAGACTGATTTACCTCAATGACGTCAAAAGGCGACAGAGAGGTTACAGGCTTCAAAGAAAATAACTCCGCTATGTTTAGCACTCGTTTCTTGTAACTAAGGTCTCTTGGTGAGAATTAGCTGTGGGTAAGTACAATACATTTGCAATGGTGTTTTGTTATTCCAACACAAATATCGATATTGAAACTGTATACGTTTAGACATAAAAAAAAAACCCATAAGAAATGACTAAATTGTACTTCATAAGATAAGCAATAGCGAGATGGTTGGCCCATTTTTAACGCATAAATTAGTCCTTAGATTCCAATATTCTCCTGATTGTGCAAGTGTAATTTGACTAATGTTGCACCATTATTAATGGAGCACTAATGCAATGTAATCAAATGTAATGAATTACTATAAAATGACACCATTCTATTTGACGTCATGGCTGCTTTTATGTATTTGACAATGTCGGAGAAAGATGACACTGGTATTTTGATTAATACATATCTCCCCTAATTTTCGATCATGGTATGGAAAAAGAGTGTAAAACGGAACTTGACGCTTTTTCGACACAACATAAAAAGACTGCGTTTTTTAAATAATATCTTAAATAGAAAAAAACAATTCGATAGTTTACAGTGTATCTTAATTGGACAAGGCACGCGCCTGTTTGGCATCAACTTTACATAATCAAGTATGTATTTGTTCTATTATTATATAATTATTTCTCATCATCTTGTCTCAAAATTATACAATAAAGATGCGAAGAATGCTCTATTCATATAGAATTATCAGGATAATCGTCCAGCAACGGGTTACATATGGCACGGTCTATATTTTAAAACTTTTTTTACAATTCTGGAAGAAATAAAGTTAACAGTTTAATATCCTGTGGTCACAATGTTTAAAAAAAGATGAACCCATTGATTATATAATGCAAAGCGAGAGGAATAATTCATAAATCGTTTGTGACTAACGCGCACCTGGCGAATCCTCAGATATCACTGTTCTGTATATCAAACGGCATACAAAAAATTCCAAGACCAAGCCAATTCTTTTAGTCTCAGAAACCAGATCACATATACTGGCGACATCGCCAATTCCCCGTTATAGAGCGTACGTGATGGCATCTCATTATACTTTTCATTAGAAGAGAGAAATATTTATCCGAAAATGATGAACAAAGCTGAGTCTGGTGCGGAAATATTAAAAAAAGCAACTTAATCACCTTGCTCAAATACAACTTTAGGAAAGACACGCGGGCCGTGTCACGTGACTAAGAAATAAATCAAACAGCATGCTGATGGACTTTCAGTTATGTCACCACTCATTCTGCTTTCTATCTGTCTGTCACTTCATCCCCAAAATACAAATCTGAACCTATTTGAGCTAGATCTATATTTCCAAAAATGCGCAGCCTGTATATTATTTAAAAACCCATAGTTCATACTACAAAGAGTTAAGGATAAGCATGTGTCGATCGAATCTGGGGAATATTGTTTTTTGTCAGTATTTCTTATTCATTTTGATGAATAAAACAATTGAGTGCAATACCCGATATACTAAAAAATGTAATTTGTATAACTGAAGAGGTGCACTGGTATACTTACAGTAAGTCGACGGGAAAGTTCTATTTCCACTGTTTTGATTTCCAGCCATAGCCTTATATCGAAACCACGGACAGAAATAAGCGCATTTGCTCATGGTTTAAATTAAAGTTATTGGTACAGTCAACTTTATACACGGAAAATGTCAGAAATAAGATGAAAAAAAATTGAGATAAGAGGTCGGTGACCAGTAAAGAACCTTAAAAGAAACAAATCTCCAGGATCTGATGGTATCACAAATGAGCGCCTAATATTTGGAGGAGAGGCGGTTGGAGTAACACTCAAACACCTATTCAATCAAATACTAGCATCCCAGTACTATCCATGTGCGTTCAGAGAAGGTACGTAAATACCTATTTATAAAGGCAAAAACGACAAATACTGCATTCGGACTCTATAATTTTCGAAATGCAAAAAAGGTGACGGAGAGAGCATAAATTGATGGGCATTATATACGTATGTTGTCTTCGGCAGCTTGCGACATCATGTGACTTTCATAACGTTGATCCCTAATCCCCGCGATATGCAACTGAGAACAATTTGTGCAGCAATTTCCTTATCGCAGAGATTAAGGAGAAGGGCTCTCTGATAACCTGTTTTTGAAAAACTTGCTTAGTGCAGTAAAATCGCTTGAATTAATTAAGTGAATTTCAGGCTTCTGATGTGGCAAAGTCGGAGTCGAAATCTAAAGTAGAACTAGATATCATTTTCAAGGACAACGTGGTCGTGGTTCACCGAGATTCAATCATTGCAATCAGTCAAGAAACAGATTCAACAGAAATTCCAGTCAATCACATCACTATCGCCACCCACAGACAATCACAAGCGTCACGAAATCAACACCAGTCACAGAATCAACACTGTCTCAACAAGTGGACAATCCATGCTATATTTGCGGCTTTCAATATACTAGTACCCACATGATGGTAAATGTCCTCCTGCAAGAGGTAAGAAATGTAGTGAATGTGGAATTCAAAATCATCTTCACGTGTGTGTGTCGTTCACGTTTCACGCATCAAAGGCGTGACCAAGCACAGTTTGTCGATAGTGATTTTACGAATGCTTCTCATTCTGATGATACATATGGAGAAGAAGATTATTTGTGAACTGGCGTTGATGAACTCTTAATCAATTCAGCTGCAGGTAAAAGTCGCACAAACATGCCTGTGACGTCTGTTGACATTGCTAGAAAATAAATTCTGGTCATTATAGAGTCTTGAGCAGCATGTGACATTATGGATTATTATGTGCTCAAGCCAGATGGATGCGTTTCAGGATCACTAACTAATTCCAAACCGCAGATTGTACCTGTATGGGTCGGACACACCATTGCCAGTAGTTGTTGTTGTTGAACAACCAGTGATACATGGTGATGTATAAATTGAGTATGAATTTCATGTCATTCGTGGGAAATCGGGAGACTTTTTAGCTTTAAATCAGCAGAAAGTTTGAAACTCTTGAAAATTGCAAGACATATTACATCAAAAGACATTGCAGATGAATTCCCCAAATTATTCATTGACATTGCCAAGGTGAAAAATGTTCAAGTCAAAATTACATGTTGATGAAAATATTCAACCAGTGAGACAATCACATCGCAGAATTCCTTTTCATGTGCGAAAGGTTGTTGAAAATGAACTGCAACGTTTGGAAGAGCTTGATAGTATAGAAAAACATTGGAGAAAGTCCACTTGTTGTAGTACCCAAGACAGGAAGGTGTGTGACATTAGAGAGGCAAATGTCGCAGTCCGAAGAGAGAGAAATATCACACCAACCATAGATGATTTCTTGATTTAGCCAGATAGACCTTGACGCTGGTTGTCACCCGTTAGAGTTGCAGCCAGATAGACTTTGACGCTGGTTGTCACCCGTTAGAGCTGCAGCCAGATAGACCTTAACGCTGGTTGTCACCCGTTAG